CAGGGCACTGCTGAGCAGCTACAGTGGCATGGTGAGGGCCAAGGCCTGGCCAGCAATCCAGGCCCTCCGCTTGTGTGTGTGTGTTGGGGGGGGAACACATCCTTAATTTTTTTTCATAATTTTATTTTTCTCTGTGTCTGTGTGTTTGTGGAGGTCAGAGAACAACTTGTGGGACTCGGTTCTCCCCTTCCACCGTGTGGATCCCAGGGACAGAACTCAGGGCATCGGACTTGGCAGCAGTTGAGAGCACAGAGGTCCTTGTGCTCACTGAGAAACACTACCCAGGAGTGTTAATCACACAGGGGTATCTCCTCAATGGGGGAGATAAAAACCAAATACCTGCATTCTATCCAGAAAGCTGAGAGTGGATTTTGTTAATGACCTGGTGACATTTCTGCTGTCTATGGAAGACTCAAATTCCCCAGAATGATCATCCCAGAGTTTTCTTCTGGATATCCTAGACTCTTACCTATTCTTAGGGGAGATGTCACATGTACTTCATGGCTTGCTGATCTTTAGGCTTCAGTCAGAGCCTCTAGGCCCTTTAGCTATAGAAGCCACCCTTATGGTCACATGTACTCTGTAGAAGAGTTTCAATGTGGTCACAAATTAAGCTACTTTGAACACATGGGATTAGAAAGATTGGATTTATTGTTGCCTGGAAACCTTTTCCCACATTGTACCGTGTTTTAAATGTGCTGACAATGAGCCGTCTGGCATTAGACTTCCCGAAGTCTGATCCAGGTTGACAAAGTCGATTTGCACTGAGTTTTGCACTTACCTCTTCACAGAGTTCTCTTTCCTGGATGACACCTGCAGGGACCCCCCCCCCCCTTGGAGCCCATCCCTCACACTTCCACTCATGGCTCAAAGTAGCCTAGTTTTTGGCTAAGCAATCCCACAGAAGCGGGTCCCTGTGGTTCTGGGAGCCTGAATTTGTGGAGCTGGAAAGTAATGGGTGAATGGCTCTGTTATCACCACAATAGGTCTCAGTCCTGTTTTACAGAAAGAAATCCTCCGTAGATGTGGCTAGACCTTCAACCATTCAATCTGCCACAGTTTGCTGGTCTAGGCTGAGCATAGAACGTCAGAGTGCTGTGCCCTCTTGGTCCCTACTACCACTGTGCTAAAATATCAAAGGACATATTAGAGTGACAAGCTGGGCTGGAGAGAAGGTCCATCCACCTGCAAAGCACCGTCCAAGCCGCAGATATGCTCTGGTCCTCCCCACCCCCCTTGCCTTTTCTTAAGAGAAGTCATCTGGTGGTAGTTAGATCAATCAGGGACAACCTGTGAACCCTTGGGATTTAAAGGACTCTTGTAATCATTGCCTGGGAGCCAAGATGGTGATGGGCCTGGATCAGAGTGATGCCAGTAAGAAAAGTGGGGTATTGGGGAAGAATTAGTAGTATTTGGTGACTGAGAAGCTGGAACATGTCAGCAGTTGAGGAGGCTGGAAGAGCATCTATGGATAGGGCTATGGGGAAAGAAAAGCTGAATTAGTGTCAGGCAAAGCTGACCCAAAGCAAGCATGAATGTTCAGAGAAATGGAGCTCTCCTCAGAAAACTGTCTCTTCCAGTCTTAAATACCACTAGGGAAGTAGGTATTTTTAATTAAACGACTCACAAGATTTAGAAAATCTTTTTGTAGAGACTCCCACTGTGGGACATATGGAGCGTTCAGGCACACTGCTGTAGCTGCTCCATCTGGGAGGCAAGCAAATCTAATTTTAGACAGCCCAAAGAGAGTGTCTCAGAGATTAGATCACTCAGCTTCCCTAGAGAAAGTTCCGTGGACTCATTAGCAACGTTCACATGCCAATTGTTCCGTGTACTGACTTCTATGTATTTACATCAAGGAAGGAGTGTACATTAATTGTACAAAGTAATAGATTGATGAGTTTTTGTTCATATTCCATATAGTTCTTTTCTGAAATTCACTTACAGTACAAACTGTTCAAATAAAACATTGCTAACCACTCACTGTTTGAGGCAGAGGTAAGTATATGTGCAAATATCTGTGCTGGATAAATATTAAGATTCCTAAGGGTTAGTCCAGAGCCAAACTGAAGGACTTAAAACAGAAACAGAGGAGATGGCTGAGGACTGAATGCCGTCTGCAAACTGTACTGTTAGACAATGGGGCCAGCTGATGAAAGGGTCCTTAAATGCATGGCAGCTAAGTCCTATTGCTATGAATCATGTAGTGGAATACTTAAAATCCACAGGGTTACTACCCAAAGAAACCAGACAACTAATATATATGGGAAACAAGCTATAACCTTTGGAGTTTTTGAGCTCCAAAGAGTTTACAAAAACACATTTCTGAAAAAACAAAACAACAAAACAGATCGGTCTCTCGGGATTGGTTTTCCTAGTGGGATGGCTTGTTGTTTGTTTGTTACTTTGACCACAGCCATCTTTTGGCATCTTTGGGAATTAGCTCTTGGATCCCTGTGGGGTACCAAAACAGGGATCTATCAGAGCTGGGGGTTCTGAGTAACTCAGGCGACCTGAGTGCTTGGGCAGCTGTGAATGAGTTACATGCAAACACAGTATCATTTTCTTGGGACTTGAGACTCATAGATTTTGTATCTTGGATCACTCCTCTCCTCAGATACCAAGACAGGAAATAGGAAAAGAGAACAGTTGTCTCACAGTTGTATTTGTGACTTCCTAAAGGTGTATGCATGTTTGTTGTGAGCATGAGTGTGTCTGAATGTGTGGAAGTACTTGTGGCTGTGGAGGTGAGAGGTGGATGTTGGGAATCTCCCTGTGCATCCAGGTAGGGTGTCAGTTGAGCCAGAGCTAGCCACTTGCTCCAGGGACGTGGCTCCAGCCCTCATCCTCCTCTAGTTCTCCCTCATCCTCTGCTGACCACTACTATTGGCTTATAGACACTAGGAAAACCAGTGTAAACTCTACCATATTGATACCGGCTCCATAAAGTTTTCAGTGGTATCAAGCTACCTGACCACCAACTCTGCTCAGCATTGTGTTTTGTCAGCTCTTAGGTAACCATTCTCAAAGGAAGAACCAGATCAACTGATGTGTAACCCACAAGGGAATCAACGAGGCAGTTGACTAGTATTGATGAATGAAATGTTAATTTGACAGTTTCAGTGTTTTCTTCTCTACTGTCTAGGCCTTATTGGTTCTAGCACCAACAAGTCTGGAGAACCTGTTAGAAATGTGGTTAGGAAACTGCAGACATGAAGCCCAGATGTCTTACAGTTCTGTATTACAGGCTGAGTTATAGCAGACAACTCACAGCATCTGACCAAAAAGATATTCTAAGAAAGAGTCTCCACAGGGGATGGGCAGTGGATGGCACTCTGGTTATCAAGCACAAGCGCACGGGAGTGAAGAAGGGAAACATGTCCAGTATGAGAAGCTAACTGCGTTGTGGGCTGCAGAGGCCTTGGAACGACCCTGCAGGGTGTCCAGGCTCCATCAGCTCCACGGTCAGGTCTACACACAGAGCTCAGTGACTCTAGGTTTCAGATCCCACAGGGAAAGGAACCAAGTGCACTCTGCCCCAGCACACCTCCGGCTTATGGATCCTCAAAGTTTCTCCATTTTAGAAGTACAAAGAAAGCAGCAGGTTTATGTCACCATTGAAACCCAGCTACCCACATACAGTCCCCTTCATGTGACACTGCAGAGCTCTAGAGGGTGGAGAGGTGTTGTCCTGAACACTGGACAGTTGAACAGGCCTAATTTGGGCCAGGAAAATGACAGCTATGCATTTTCTCAAGTGTATAATAAACTTCTTGGCATTTACTATTCTTTCAGTAATTTCTATGTCTGAGGACAGGACAACCTCTCACAGGAGCAACAAAAGCGCACACGGTAAGAAAGCCATTGCCAGGAGACATCGGGCAAGGGGCTCTATCCAGCTGTGCCGACTCCCAGAACTCTGGATGACATAGGAATTCTAGGCTTCTATTTCATTACACGTAACATTACAAGGGGTGGAGCCTTAGGAGGCTGCTGGCCCTACTAGTTCAGAAAAAAAAATTTGCTTAGTATTAAATCCCCCAAAGTGCCATCGTTGGAGTTAAATATTCCAGTATTTAGCAGGGGCTGGGGGTCTGCTTCTTCTGTTTACGGAGGAGCCTGAGGCAGCTGCAGACCAGGAAGTGAAGCATACGCAGGCGACCACATTTTAAGTCACCTCCCCTCAACGTAAGGACAGTATGAAACAGATCCCAACATGGAGTTTTTATGAATATATGAAACTCCCAGGCAAAACACTATACTTGTAATGAAGTCTTCAATGTGTCTGAAGAGACTCCTCACTGCCATGTGACAATGTGAGATCCACTTGTATTCGGCTGCCACAGAACAACTTACTCCTAGTCACTGTGTGGGAATCTGTACAGAGACCAATTTACACCAGCATGCCTTATGAAACAGGGGCTAAACAATGAAGCAGCATAGAATTACCAGAAAAATGTGTATCTGGAGAGGGCCGGCTCTGAACTCCACACGTCACCATTTCCCAGCCATGTCATGTCAGGGAATTCCATTTTAAGCCTTAGGGTGGTGGGGCTGGTGACACTTGGCTCTTCAAAATTGTAAAATCCTAACATGAATACAGTAATTAGTGATTATATTATTAGTACTCATGCAACAATCTAGGAAACATTACAGTTATCTTTTCTTTAAAAATCACTTAAGATACCCAGAAAGAAAGCCAACCCAACTTTCAGAGTGCAAGTGCCGTGCCTTCTGGTTCTCTATGCGCTCAGTGTGGAGCACCCACCCGCCTACCCTGCTGAAGAGCGGCTGTGCCGGGTCTCCCTTCTGTAGGTGGTTTATGCAGCTCTCAACAGCCTTCGTTTATCTTCCCGAGTATGCTTTCAGCAATTTACTGCATCTAGTGTAAGAACTACAAATACTGCTCATGCCTTTAGACCTAACTTGTTATGTAATGTGGGGAACCATCCCAATACATGCTGGCTTATTAAAAAGAGAAACTTCCAAAATTCAAGACATGGATTTTACAATAAAGTTTATTAGCTGTTCTCCTCTTTCTCATAAACGGAATGGATAATTCTTTACAAACCAGTACTCATTTAAGAAATTTTAAAGAGTTGTCAAAATCACATATCGAATAAACAATTCCAAAGAGCAATGGGAAGCCAAATGATATAATAGTGGACTAGGGGACCTGCCTTCTGAAGGCACCCTGCCTCTCACTAACATTTCCTCGTTTACCCTAAGACCTGTGCAATTCTAGTTCAGCGCAGCTACGCAAGATGAAGTATCTGGGGGAATCTCAAAAATGGAGTTTGTTTGTCTGTTAATAAAATGAGGAGACCTAGGAGGAAAGGCAGAGGACCACAATCAAACCCCATGACAGAATACAGCACTGACAGAAACCTAGGAACTTTCTGGAACTTCTGTAGGAAAGAGGAGAACAGGCTTGACATCTACTCGCCATCTAATCTCTCTAGAGGTTTCTCCTCACCGCCACCGTACGCTTGCCTTCAGATCACATGATTAAGGACAATAAGTCGCATCAATTAATATTTAATTTAAAAACCAAAAAAAAATGTTAGAAGTAGGTGGCAAAAGAAAAATATATTTTAAATATATATATATATGTTTGTGTGTGCAACTATGTAAAGAAAATAATTCCCATAGTTACAGAGTTTAGTTAAACAAAGTTTTATATATATTTATATATATTTTATTATAACAAAATAGGCAGTTATTGTGGGTAAAATAGTCATTAAAATCTGACCCCTCCCTAAGCATACATTAAAATTTTAGGCTATGAATTGGACTCCTTTCCACTGCCATGATTGCTATATGTCCACTAAAATGCTTTCTTGTCTGCAGTTGTGTGTGTAAAGTGAGCTCTCTGAGCCTGACAGAGCCATAACCACAGTGCACAGACAACGCTCGAGACCCACTACCCACAGTGTTGCACAAGCCAATCAAAAACACTCGCATGGTTATTCTGGGCAAGTGTCCTAGGGGAGGGCACACACAATAAAGACCTGTCATGAATAACAAACAGCCCTCCTGAAATTATAGTTAACTCAGACATTAATTTTGAAATAAATCCCTATTTTTCTTATTTGTTTTTAATGAAATAATTACTTTAATAGGAGAAGTCAATTGAGGAAAGAACTTGAGAGCTAATACACTGGCCAAACCATGCTAGTAGAGTTAAGCGTGCAGAGTTGCTCAAGGTCCACTGAATCACTGATTAAAACCACTTTTCTTTCATTTGTACTGAAACTGGAAAAGAATGTATATAAAGCTTTTCTGAAAATCTCTTAAAGTTAACTTTCCCTTAAACATTAAGGAATTTTACAATTTTGCATCTCCCCAAACCCTAGATAGCTGGTCAGGCCATTCATCTTCAGTTCTGGAAAGTGGCCAGAAACCAATAGTAACACAGAATAGTACAGATGATGCAACATGAAGGGACACAGATGTCAAAAACGGGCACAACTGCCGACCATGAGGAGGGGACCTGCGTCAGTGTGGAGGACACTGAAGACAGACTCCAGAGTAGGGTAAGAGATGGGACCATGGAAAAAAGAGAGAGCAACATCGTCTTCATAACTTTTCTTTTGCTGGGACCCAGATGTAAGGACCAGACTGTTCTTCGATGATCTGTTTCACTTGGTTGTAAATGTCCTCCAGCGTGTCCCCCTGTACAACAGCTGTAACGACAGAAAGCAGAAATGCCCATTAGCCATCCTCCTTTGCCGTCAACATTCCTGGTGAGGTGGGAGACGACAGTATACTACTTGTTTACAACAGCTGTCGTTTAGTTAGTTTTACGTTTTGTACAATACACACAACAACCAAGACACGCGTTCTGCCTTTATCCTTTGTTTAGTGTGCTGATCATCCGAGCTTGTACTAGCTCGCTTGCTCGCTCACTCTTCTGGTGGTGCTGGGGACTGAACCTAGGGCCCTGCACAGGCTAACTGTATGTTCTATCTCTGCTTTATGCCCCTCAGTTGTTAGTTTTATTATTTTAACACAGAATGTTTATTTCCTTGACTTCTGTGGGAACTACAGAGTTCCCACACACTTCTGTGGAGGTGGCAGGATAGGATCTGAGGAAGGAACAGATTACACACTCTGCCTAAGTATGAAGTGTGCCATGTAGACTGAGATCCACAATCTGTATCTTAGTGCTAGAAACTATTAAAATCAACATTAGAAAGCTTATTTACGCCGGGCGATGGTGGCACATGCCTTTAATCCCAGCACTTGGGAGGCAGAGGCAGGCGGATTTCTGAGTTCGAGGCCAGCCTGGTCTACAGAGTGAGTTCCAGGACAGCCAGGACTACACAGAGAAACCGTGTCTTGAAAAACCAAAAAAAAAAAAAAAAAAAAAAAAAAAGAGAAAGCTTATTTCCTGCCTGAAATAATGTACAAATAAAAATAACACAGCATGTATCATGGTGCATACTTATAATTTTACAACTTGAAAGGCAAAGGCAGGAAGATTATAAATTCTAGGTCAGCCTGGGCTACACAGATAGATCCTTTTTCAAAAAACACAACTAACAACAACAACAAAATGGTAACAATTACTAAGAACTAATTCTCTGGATAATTGGGAGTCTCTAGATCTGTAAGAATCAAGGGTAGTTAATACAACTAGAAAGGATTCAGCATGGAGCCAGGCAGGCGGCTTAGAGCAACTCAGCCCAGCACTCAGGAGACCCAGGCAGGTATGTTAAACTCGACGCTGACAAGGTCTACACCCTGAGACTGAAAACAAGCAGCAAGTGTGCACGGGTGTAAGGAAATGGCCATGTTTCCTGCGGCCTGAGACTTCTGGGGTGAAATGCCAAATGGTGATGTAAAGTAAAACTGTCCAGGCTGGCGAGTGAGGTTAAGGATACTGTATGGAGGGACATTTATGTACAAAACAAGAGTGTCTATGTAGCTCAGAGTGTTTGAGTAGTCAAGTTTTAAGCTTTATAATGTTTAGAGTATCAGTCCTGTGAAAGTTCACATTTGAACTACATACAGGTATCCTTCCTAATTGCGAAGACAGACATTTGGCAAACGCCAGTTTCTGTGACTGGGTCAGGGCAGGCTCACAGTGGCAAGCAGTAAATTATTCTGGGGAAGGGCAGCTGTTGAAGGACTGTGCTGGGAAACACGCTTTGCTTACTACAAAAGTCGTGGTTGTCCCTGAGTTGGAAGAGTGGAGGTCAAGTCCAAGATATCGTAGCCATTACCATTACAAGCAACACCATGACATGAATGGTTCAGACTGTGTTATAAGCACTGCCTATGTTACGTCTCTGACTTGCCTGTCCCAAACTGACCCAAATCTACGGAGATTCCACAAGAGAACTAGCCTTCATTCTTAAAGATTGTCAAGGCAGGTAACTGGGCATGGTGGCACACGCCTTTAATCCCAGCACTTGGGAGGCAGAAGTAGGCGGATCTCTGTGAGTCTGAGGTTAGCCTGGACTACAGAGCTCCAGGACAGCCAGGGCTATACAGAAAAACCCAGTCCTGAAAAACAAAACACAGGGGAAACCCTCTCTGAACCAGACCCCCTCACCCCCAAGTCAAGGTTGCCAATGACTGACTAGTAAGTAAGGGCTTGATAGACAGTTCTAGATCAATGACATGTTCAGTGGAACGTGTGTTCCTGGAGTGGATCCTGCCTTTTTTTCTTTTTTGCCATCTTACTCTGACAAGTGCCACTACTGGGAAAGCCTGCATGAAGGTGACATTACCCACATTACATTCCCTGAGTGATGAACACCACTCTCAGCATGTGAGGAATATGAACAAACACCCAAAAGTCTTCTTTAAAGGAATGTTTGAAATATCAAAATAGTTAGAAGTAAAAGGCATCTATTTGTAACTTATTCTTGGATATTTTAGTGATAAAATATTAATATTTGGGAAATTCAGGTAAAAGGCATGATCCCTGCCCCACCCAAGGTTTCTCTGTGTATGTAGTCTTGCCTGTCTGAAACTCACTCTGTAGACCAGGCTGGTCTTGAATTCAAAGATCTGCCTGCCTCTGCCTCCCTAGTGCTGAGATTAAAGGTGTGAGCTGTTCTGTTCTATGCTAATATTTTTATGGTTTCCCTCTGAGCTGTTCTGTTCTATGCTAATATTCTTATGGTTTCCCTGTAAATATGAAATTAAAAAAATACATGCCCCTCCCTTTAGCACATGGCTTTTGCTATCAGAGCACTTACTGGAACTCATGTGATCATTATTTTAAATGCAGTCACAGTGTGTATACATGGTCCCAGCTACTCAGGTAGCAAATGTAGAGGGGTCACTTGAGTCCAGGAGTTCAGGGACACCTTGGCAACAGTCAGAATCTAAGCTGTTATTACAAAGGTAGGCCGCTGCTGCCAGAATGAGGCTGGTGACTCTGTCCTCCAGTCTTCTGTGCTTGTCACCCTCTGTAGGTTATCCCTCTCATCTAGGAATTCCCAGTTCTCAACTGTCAGCTAAACAATTCTTGCTTATACCCAGTCTACAGAAAACACAGCAAGAGGTCTAAGCCAACAAAGAAATATCAAAGAATTGCACTTGCAATTCTTTGATATAACCTCATTATTAATAACCTCATTAATAACCTCATTATTCACAATAGACAAAGCAACGAAAACCACCTAAATGTTTGCCAACAAAGAAAATATAGGGTACCTAAATATCTGTAAATAGAACAGATCCAGAAGGAATCTGGTAATTTCTGACATGAATGAATATACAACATCTTAAGCTACATTAAACCAGACACATAAAAATAAATCTGACATGGCTTCATTTCCCTGTGGAATCTAAACTGAACTCCCAGAGGCAGGGAGCACAGTGACGGTTCCCAGAGGTTGGGAGCAGAACAGGATAAGGAGATTGTGGTCAAGGGTAGACATTTTTTTCATTTTCCCATTACCAGCCAGGCACAGGACAAACCGCAGATCTTACATGTTTGTTTTGGAAACTCCAGGACTAGTTCCTACTAGTAGATGTGACCCAGCAGAGTCCCTCCCAACCCCCGCCCAGCCCGACACCGCCTCCCACCTGTGAAATGTTCAGTGAACTCCTGCTCCAGCTTCACGGCTCTCTCAAATGTTTTTCTGGCCTGCTCTTCTGTTAGGCGCTTATTCATTTCCCTATGCAAATACATTCAGAAATTGCTGATTACCATGTTGTATACTCTTTCAAAAAAGATGACAGAGGACACATAAGGCATAAAATGAGTAGTTCAAGTCTGTGCAAACTATTGCTGTCACTGGGAACAGATGCAGTCAGTAAGCCTGCTGCCCCACACTCCAAGTGACAACAGGACTGTGGCACTTTCTACCCTAGCTCAGAGCAACCAGTGCATTCGTTGGACAGTTTCCCTGTGTACTTCACATTAAGATGTGATTCACAGATCTATATACCAATTTACAGACCATAAATGGACAGATTAAACAACCAATCAGAACGTACAGTCTGGGGAAACACTGAAATGACCTAGTTTCCTCATCAGTGAAGTGGAGTGGGATGAGAGAGGAACGAGGAGGAAGACTTAGATTAAAAGCGTAGCGTTCTCCCATGAAGAAACCTTAGCTAGAACTTGGTGGCTAGAGGAAAAAAAGCCTGTAAACATAAAACACAAGGAAGGACATCTGACATGATATTAAAAAATATTGTGGGCTACATGCCATACCCTCAGTGGGGATGCTTTTAATTATTTTTATGGTATATGAAATGATACATATGACATTTATTTCACAATTATCTGGGTGTATGTGGAGAGAAGTGAGCCAAACACAAGCTTAGTCCTCCTGCAGCTGGAAGACAGGTCTATGGGAGGTTCGTTTCCGATTCGTGAGAGGATGCTCTCACCCCTTCAGCATTAAGCATGGCCTTCTGCATGGCTATGGTGTTGTGCCCTTTCAGCCCTCAGGACTGATCATGCCTCGGACCTCCAAAGCTTCTGAGGAGGATTCTGCTGATCATCTTACTGGAAGTTCTCTTGTGTGTGATGAGTCACGTTGTGTACAACACTGACTTCCTACAGTATGACTGTAGCACACCCCAGCTAGGGCACTTCTGTCTCTTATGCTTGGACTTTACTCAACATCTTGGATATTTATGACTTTTAAATAAAACCTGGGAAGTTTCTTCAAATAATCTGTCCCCACTCACATTTTGAAATCATAACACGTTGACCTACTCAGTGCCATCTTCTAGTTCCTTGAAGCTCTGTTAACTTTCCTCCAATGTTCCTCAGATTTGATAATTTCCATTGTCCTATTTAATGAATCTTCTGCCTGTTCAAACTTGCCTCTGAATCTCTATACTAAATTTATTTTAGTAACTTTTTTTTACATCCAGAACTAAAAATTAGAAAACAAAAAATGTTATTTTTAATTCTGTATCTTTGTGTGGTGGTGTGGGTGTGTGTACCTGAGTGCAGCGTGAAGGCCCCAAGCCCTAGGGCATGGATCCCCTGGAGGAACCTGACTTGGATCCTTCCTAAGAGTAGTCTGCTCTTGGAGGGGGGGGGGGGCATTGCTAGCCCTCCTAGAATTCAAGTTTTTTTCTTTATTGATATTCCAACTTGCTCAGATACACTTTTCTTGACTTTGATCTTGCCTTTCAGTTCTTCTGCATGTCTTCGAGGCACTATAAGTATTATATAACGTAAGGAAGGGCAGGAAGGGTACGACGAGGGAGGGAGGGGGAAGAGAGGGTAGTGGAGGTGCCCATGAGCACCGAGTACATAGGCTTCAGATGCTTGAGAACATTATATGGAAACCTGTTATTTTTTACTTAAAAACAACGAATTGTACTAAGTGGTTTTACAGTCTGTAGTGAATTTGACATTTGGTCTGTCTCAGGGAATTTGATTTTTCCTTTGAATGGGCCATTCTTTGCTGTTTCTTTGTATACTTTTTGTTGTTGTTAAAATTTCGTATTGTATTCTTATGATTCAGCAACTCTAGAGAATAATTTTTGCTGTTTTATTTAAAATTTAATTATTGTTGTAGAGTATTGTTGTACTGAGGCAGCTTGATATAAGCTGAAGATTTTACTCAGGTATTTTCTGAGACTGTGTCTTCCCATGGTCATGTATGATATATCTATAAATTCCATCCATATATGTGACACTTTCAAATGTCCTGGGCTGGCTACCGAAGTAAAAAAAGCAAAGTCAAGGAGGTAGGGTGGGTCTGGGAAAAGGCACTGGGGCTTTTAAAACTTTGACAATTACTTTATAAGCACCTTATTATACTTCCAATCAGAGACAGCACCAGCTGGAATAGCCGTTGCTGGCCCATGAATACAGGGTCTCTGTTTTGTCTTTTGCAGCATCTCAGAAATTGTACACAGACTGCTGAAGAAATGCATGCATGGCTGCTTGCTACAGGACTAAAAAAAAAAAAAAAAAAAATTAAAAAATGGGAGCTGACATCACGCTGAGAGCTAAAATTAACCTTTCAAACTAACCCTAGGAAGCTGTATGGCTTCAAAAGACTTCACAGTTCCAAACTAGGTTGAGCAGATAGATCTTGACAGTGAAGTTGTTGTGTAGGTGGGGTGGTTACTGGTGTGTTCATTATTTGGAGATTCAAGTCCAGCCTGAGTAACTCCTACACCCTTTGTTTATGCTGGACAGGTGCCCTACTCTGGACCTTTGGTCTCCTGATAAGATTTTTAAATATTAGTATCAGTTTAATATACTAGGAATAAATTTTGCTTGTGGTCATTATGCAAGATTTTCTTTCCTTCTGTCCTTTTTTAGTTAACATGTTTTGAGATGTAACTTTAAAAAACATGGAAGTGTAGTGACTTTCATGTACAGCCTGACAAATTGTCACAAACCTGTGCAGTGCACCTAGAGTCAGGTCTAACAGAGCAGTACCAGTGCTCTGGGACTCAGTGTGCCATCCTCATGGCTAGGTTCCATTGGGTTTTGCAAGCGATGATAAAACTTGGAATTTCAGAGCACGTGTACTTCTGAGATCTATTCAAATTCTATGACTCTCTTATGTGTTTGTAGCTGGAGACTGCTCAGCTCATGATTATTCTTGCAGAATGTTTCATTGTTATTGATGTATGTGGTGGTGGTGGTCATTGAGGTAGTTTCTAGGTGGTGGCTATTTGAATAGCACTTTTGCTGGCAAGAGATTATGTGTAATACTAGCAAGCACTTCTGTTGTATGTATCTAGGAAGGAGAGTTTAGGTTAATCATAAATTCTGCATGTGTCAAGCTTTTGAAACTACTGTAAAATAATCAATATAGATTCACCATGACACTTGAAGACTGACTTGTTTCAGATGCTCTGTATTCCTGTCAAAGAGGTGCTGTCTTTTCCCATTTTCACCTTCCTGATGTGCAGGTTAGTACCACTATGATATCATGGCTTTCAGTTATTTAAAGTCAGTACCATACCGAGTGCGTGCTCTGTCCAATTCCTAATTTTTACTGGGCCACGTGTGTCAAAACTATAGTGGCCACTGATGTATACTGATCATCTTTTTCCATTCTGGTGTTCACATAAAAATGCCTGACTCTATTTCTTCATCATTCTTAATATTTATTGTATTTTCCAAGAACATCTTCCCATTGTTCACTGTTCTATACTGATTTGATAGTACACTCTTCTGGCTTCTTTGAATTTATGGTTGACTTCCAACTTTTCTCCCTGTTTATGTTTTTTTGAAACAGTGTCTCTCTCACTCTGTAGTCTCAGCTGGTCTTGGATTTTCAGGTGGCCTCCTCAACTCCACAGCCCTGAGATCGGGGGTTTGGCAATACACCTTTAGTTTCATGTTTACAGGCTGTGTAATCAATCTCCTTTACCAAAGATATGACATTAAGTTTGTCAGCTTTTATATGTAGTTCAAAACATTTATTAATTTTTCTGTAATTTTTTTAACCTATTCAGAAGTATAATGCTGAGCTTCTAATTTATAAGCATATTTTTATTATTAATTTCCAGTTTAATTTTGCTGTGGTCAGAGAATATTGTTTTCCACTCATTTGAAAACTGTACTCCAGCAGGCAGTGTGGTCATGGGAGGTGTATCTGAAATCAGTATGTATTTTGCATATGTTGAGTACAGTACTTAGTGAATTTCAACAGGATTATTTAGGCCCACTGATACTATATTTTTGTTCTACTTGTTTTTATTTGCACTTACTTTTCTTTTCCACTTAATTCTACTAAGAAAATTAAACTATATTCATGTATGCAAATGTATGTGTGTGAGTGGGGTCAGGGAGCAGCTTGTAGGAGTCCTCCTCTTTTGTTGTGTGGATCCTGGATATTGAACTCAGGTCTTCAGGCTTGGAGGCAAATGCCTTAATGGAGCCATCTCACGTCTTGTCAGCCAGGGAGCCACCATCCTTTTATCTTTTTAATGGTTACCATATAGCTGCACTGCCCCTTAGATAGTATGAACGATGATGACCATGATGGTGGTTAATGTCACACATACCCTCTAGGATAGATATAAATACTATAATCTTCATTTTATAGATGCAGAGAATGAGGACAAATAAGTAACTCAAGGCTGGCTGATCTGCATTTAAAGGGAACATTCTAGACATTTACACTTACATGATATTTTCCATGGATTTGGGTTTAATAAAAATAGATACTGGGTAAAGCTGTGCAATCTGTAACCTCTTTATGGCATTTCCAGACACATCAAGGATACAATGTTTGCCCTAAAATAGAGACAATAAAGAAGACAATTAAATAAGTGGGCCAAATCTTTTCAATCATACCAAGGAGTTTCCCACAGGTCAGTCTGAATTGTACTTCCTTTAGATCCTTTTTACTTCAAGCAAAATTGTCATTTATCATTAAACTGCAGAAGGGAAATTACATGAAGATAATGATTATGAATAATTACTTTTCCATTCTCGAAGCCAAAAAGAGTTAAAATACAGGTCAATCCCCAGCTTTTATAGACCAACAACTTCTAAAATGAGTGGAGAGATGGCTCAGTGAAGTGTGCATTCTTTTTACAGAGGAGTTCATTGCCCCCAAGTTGGGTTGTCACCGGTTACTGGTCATTATGGCTTCAGGGGATTACTCTCTTCTGACCCCAATGGGTACCTCTACATACTCACGTGTACAGACACACACACACACACACACTCTCATCTGTACATATAGGTTAAAATATACAAATAAATCAAAAGGACATTAACCAACTTCATATCATAAAATGGCATGGCCAATAGAAGGTGAAAAAACACATGGAGTGCGTCATGCCTTTCACTCAGTAAACCTGTAAAGTCATATTTTTATTTATGTACATGCCTGTGTGTGTGTCCAAGGAGACCAGAAGAGAACAACAGAGAGTCTGTCACTCTGGAAGTGGAGTGTAGGAGAGTTCGCTGCGGGAGCTGTGGGCTCCCTGGGGAGGCTCCCTGGTGAGGGCAGTATGCACTCGTAAGCACCGAGCCCTCTCCTAGCCCCTCAGTGCCACTATTCCATGCTTCTGATCCTCATTGTATCAGGGGCTGGAAGATCCCATAAACTGCAATTTGGAAAACCCAATTCTGTATTTCTATAACTTTTTTTTAACAAATACACTGACACAAAAGATCATTTACATTTTTACTACAGCTATGTATTTCCAAGTTACATAGAAATGTGTAAAATGCAAATTAAATAAATTTTATTGGAATATTTAAAATCAGGTCCTCAGTCTCATAAAATAGCTTGTAATTCGCTGGGTGGTGGTGGTGCACGCCTTTAATCCCAGCACTTGGGAGGCAGAGGCAGGCGGATTTCTGAGTTCGAGGCCAGCCTGGTCTACAGAGTGAGTTCCAGGACAGCCAGGGCTACACAGAGAAACCCTGTCTCGAAAAACCAAAAAAAAAAAAGAAGAAAGAAAGAAAAAAAAAAAAAGCCTGTAATTTAAAGACTAGAGTTCATGTGAAGAAATGATACTCAATAGGCAAGTCTATATTATAATAAAAATATTGTAAAAGACTAAACATACAAAAACGTAAAGAAATTAATATATTCACAGTATTAAAAAAAGTTGATAATTTTATTTATTTTTAATGTATATGTGCACGTATGCCGGCCAGAGGCTGACATCAGGTGTCGTCCTTAATTGAGCTTCACTTTTTTTTGAGATGTGGTCTCACGGCACCTGAGGCTTGTCACCTCAGGCTAGACTAGCCACTAGTCAGTCATTTCCAGAGAGCCTTCCGTCTTTGCTTCCCAGGGCTGGGATTATAAGTGCACATGAGACTCTGCTTTATGTGGCACTAGGGATCTAACGTCAGGGACTCGTGCTTATGTGGCCAGGACTTTACTGACTGAGCCATCCCTCTAGCCCTGTGTTAGGCTAAGCTCAATGGAAGTGACATCTCATTGGAGGAAGCAGCTCATTGGAAGTATGACTCTGAAGGGATTTCTGTGTAATTTCTACTCTCTTTGTTTCTCCACGATGTACTGAAACCTCTGAGACCATGAGCTAAAACAAATCCTTCCCTGTCTTCCTTCACAGAGACAGAAAACTAACATGCTGGCTTCACTCTTTACAGATATGTATTAGTTTTACTGTAACTGCAGAAATAATAATAATCCTTTGGTCTATATTACCCAAAGATAATCACAGTGACTCTAGCTGCTCATCTAATGCTCCTGACTGCATAAGCAATGAAGAGTTGCGGGCTGAGGCTGCAATCTAGGACATGGGTTTGATTTACTGACAAGTCTGCCTGCCAGCAGCTGGGCTACTCAGCCCTTGCCATTCTAGGTCTTGGTATTTTACTGTTTTTGTGTTGAGTATGCATATACTGAGCACGTGAATGCAGAGGGCAGAGACCAAAGTCCAGTGTTTCTGCTCTCTACCTTGTTTTTTGAGACAGGGTTTCTCTGTGTGGCCCTGGCTGTCCTGGAACTCGCTCTGTAGACCAGGATGGCCTTCAACTCACAGAGATCCATCTCCTGTGTACTGAGATTAAAGGTGTGTCCCCCTATCCCCACCCCATTCAACTTTATTGATTTTTTAGGATAAGCTTGCTCACTGAACCCGGACCACTGTTTAGGGGAGACTAGCTGGCCCACGAGCTGCAGGGACTCGCCTGTGTCCACCCTGCTCAACCCCAACCTGCCTGGCTTTTACATGAGTACAGGAGAAGGGAACACAGGTCCCCATTCTAACCAAAAGCACTGCACTTTATTTATAGAGCCGACTCACTCTAGCCCTGATCTTGGAGTTTTTGAAGAGTAAGATCACTCATTTCATAGGATATGCCTTATATGGCTCAGCCTGTCTCTCGATGATCAGAGGGCAAGTTACACATTTCTGGAATACTCTGACAGGTATCCTGTTCTTAGTTCATTTTATTAAGAAGGTATGTGATATATATATACATACATACATACATATATATATATATACATATATATATGTATATATATTTTTTTCCCATTTCTAATGACAATGTGATTACATTTAAACTTCTGTCTGTTTAAAAGTTCTCCACTGTAAAATTATCTTTGCCTTTTAAACTACTTTTAGGGTAGACACTTTCCTGGAATGCAAATACTCTTGTTTCTCACAAAAATGCCACTTATTGTGATTAATTTAAGATATGATTTTAATCACCTTTAATGTTCTTGCCTGAAATAATTATTAGCATGAGAATTTCTTTTTTTATTTTTTTTATTATTTATTTATTTTTTTTATTTTTTGAGACAGGGTTTCTCTGTGTAGCTCTGGCTGGCCTGGAACTCAGATATCCACCTGCCTCTGTCTCCCAAGTGCTGGGATTAAAGGTGTGTGCCACCACTGTCCAGCTTAGCATGAGAATTTCAAAGAAGATTTCCCTACTTTGTCATGCCGTGGCCCTGATGAGCATAGACAGTATGTGTAGATAAGGCTTCGCCTCCATCTTTCTTGCTTACGCCTTCACGGACTACTCAATTTTTACGCAGCACTGTGTTTTATAATCAGTTACTAACTTACTTTGACAATCAAATATTCCACTCTTTGATCTGCCTCCCACTTTTCCTGTGTCAGTAACTAGTCTTATCAGGTTCTGATCAGTCCTTCCTGCATTTACACACAACTGAGTAGATGTGTTTTCTTATTTCTCCTTTTAAAATACTAAGTCATAGATCCTCTGCATGTTGCAAATCAATTCATAGATATTTCACTCTCATCTATTAACTGTAAAGATTTCCAATTCATGGCTGTTTCTGACTTTCAATAGTTTACAGTATCTCACCCTTGGATTAAGGTGACAGCGGCAACCCCTCTGCAAAGGCACTTTTCCTATTACTGGTATGTGTGTCTGTGAAAATGTCCTAGAACTGAACTGCTCGGTGGAGGACGGTAGTTTACCAGCTGCTGCCACATTTCTTCCTGATCAGTGTTTTGCAGGAGCAGAGTTTTTATTTTGATGAACTCCAATCTATCATCTTTTTTTTCTGTGGACTCTGTATTTGACATCTTTGTCTAACTTAGGGTCATGATTTTTCTTGATAAATTACTTATTTTTATTTTATGTATGAGTGCCTGCATGTATGTGCACTTATGTGTGCCGACTGCCCTTGGAGGCCAGAAGCAGGCATCAGAGTCACTGGAACTGAGTTATAGGAGGACGTAAGCCGTCAGGACTTCACAGGAGCAGCAGCCAGCATTCCTAACTACTGAGCCATTGCATCTGCCTCTCCTTATGCTTTTCCTCAGAAGTTTATAGTTTTAGAATTTAGACCTATTCTTCAGTTAGACTTGTAAGTAGCATGAACTGAAGCTACTTAACTGTTCTGTCATCACATGCTCAAAGCATCTATCACCTCACAGAATTTGTTCTTTTCTCCATATGACCGTGTGTGTAGGTCTATTACAGGATTACATTTTCTTTTCTTGATTGAGACAGAGTCTTGATATGTTGAAAGGATTGGCTTTTATCTCTTGGGTTTAAGTGATCTTCTTGTTTTACCCGAGTAGCTGAAATTGCATGTGTGTACCACCAATCTCGGCTTACTTCAGAACCCTTCAATGTGTAGCCCCTTTGAACTTCATTACTCTCTTTACACTGAGATATTATTATTATTATTATTATTATTATTATTGTATCAAAATTACGTAGTATGAGTCCCTCAACCTTGCTATTTTACAAAATTGTCTAGCTATTTGTGATGGTTTTAAATGTCATTGCCAAAACTTGGAATGATGTGAAGGAGGAGCCTCCCCTGAGGAAATCAGGTTAGTCTGAGGGCATGGTTATGGAGGGGCTGTCGGGACTGTTAACGAAGTGAGAAGCATCATCTTGAATGTGGGTGGCAGTTTTACAGACTGGGCCCTGAACTGTACGAGAGGAAAGAAAGGCAGCAGGATGCAAAGGTCTTGACTCCGGACATGCTGTCATTAGTTGCCTGAGTTTAATTGAGTTCCCATCAATTAAAGGATCACTGGAATTATAAGCTAAATAAACTCCTAAGATGCTTTGGTCAGGGCATTTTATCACAATGACAGAAATGAAACTAGAACACTATTCTAGACTTTTTTACATAGAGTTTATAATTATGATATAAATTTCTAAAAAAAAAAGTCTATTGGGAATTCAGGGATATCTGATATTTAAGTTATTATTTGTTGGGAAATGTTGTAACCTGTTAAAGGTCTATGTAGCTGTTACCTGGCTAGCCTGCCATTATAAGGAAATGTTCTAATGTCAAGATTGATTACATATTCTGTTATGCTCTGTGCCCTTGGAAGACAATCACAATACAAGTCAGTAGTACTGTTTTGTATAGTTGCCCACAATAAGTGTGGACCTGAACCACCCACCCAGCAGGACTTCCTGCACCTATGTATAAGCTTTTATGGTATTTGCTTTTATAAGCTGTCCCTGGGATAGATCTCAATATAAGAGACACACTTGCACCAATATAAGAAGCTATTGGAGTAAGACTTCCATTTTGAGTAGTGGTCTAGTAAAGTTTTAAGTCCCAAAGACCTTCCTGGGAACTCATTTTTAATCAGGGACACTGGTGACCTTAGCCAGAACAAGGCCTTAGGGTAACCACCCCCCATTTTATGGAGGCACATGATCATCTCATTCTCAGACTCGACAACCTGTTCTTAGATGAACTTTTCTAAGTCACTTTAAATCTAATATTAGCCGGGTGGTGGTGGCGCACGCCGCCTTTAATCTTAGCACTTGGGAGGCAGAGTCAGGTGGATTTCTGAGTTCAAGGCCAGCCTGGTCTACAGAGTGAGTTCCAGGATAGCCAGGGCTACACAGAGAAACCCTATCTAGAAACAAACCAAACCAAACCAAACCAAACCAAACCAAACCCAAACCCAAACCCAAACCCCACAACAATAACAACAAAAAATCTAATACTTGCTCAACTAAAGCAGTAACGTTAATAAGCTACCAAGGCTATGCCAGCTGTATTATATGTTTCAATACACATAAAGTAGAGTAGCCTTTATTAGGAACTCTACTCTGGGGGGCCTGGTGCTCACCTTCTCTGCCACTGCTCGCACAGACTGAACGCTCGTTCCATAGAGATGGTTGTTATACTGGCCAGCTTCAATGAACTTATGCTCCTGGATATCTTTCTCCATCTGTTCTCTTGAAGTCACAAAATGATAATCTCTTCCATCCACCTCATAGTCACGCTTTGGTCTAGTTGTATCTTCAATAAAAAAGAACTTGGGGAAGTGTTTAATATTTAAAAACAGAATAAATACATCTACTTAATTCCTTTTAAAAAGGTTGAACATAAGACTTAAATCTAAAAAAAGAGACAATAATATTGAGGAAGAAGGAATAATTAATAAAATAATTAACTATAATCTTTAAAGCAGTTACATTTACTTCTACCAAATACAGTGAAAGAAAATGTTAAATAGTTTTAATTTGGGTTACTCACGAGGGACACAGGATCCAAATTTGTCAGGAAATTCTGAGATTAAGTCATCATTTACTCTGTCTTTCATAGGTCCTAATATGATGACTGGTCGGGTATAATTAACTACAAGAATAAACGTATTAAAAAGAATAAACATTTAACAAACATTAGTGTATTTCAGCAGAGAACAAAACCATTCTGAACTATTATGAAGACTCTCTTCTTCATTCTTTCTTTACATTATGTTCTCAACTAAGTACTACTTTGTAAACAAATCCTTATTAAAATCTTGGAAGTCAAGTTATATTTAGTATCTTAGACATTTTAAAAGGTTGTTAACACTTCATTATAACTAGAAAACGGAGTATGATGTTGTATCGATGGTTTTTGAAATTAAAAACAAGAAAGCAGAGTAAAGGAGACAAAAACTGGGTATAGGAAGTCACAGGATGACACTGTGATCTAGAGAGATGAGCTAGCCTAACAAGCACACAGTGGGTCATGCTGAAGGAGGAAGATCTTTGGTAAGAATCAGACCAGTACTGTGGTTGGAGGGGTGGAAAGGTAGATACAGTGAGCTTAGGGATGCAATACCAATTAAACCCAGCCAATATAAAATGACTTGGTTCTAGTATTTTATGGGACCTAATAGTCTGATTTTTCAAACTAAGTATATTTATTTTTATATTAATCTATTTATTATAATTAATTTTTCTCTGTGTGACATGGTGTGTGTATGTGGAGGTCAGAGGATAACTTGTGGTGAGTTGGTTCTCTCTTCCTACCATATCATTTCTGGGGTCTTAACTGAGGTCACCAGGTTTGACAGCAAGCACCCTTATCCACTGAGCCATCTCATTGGCCCTGAAATACACTTTTTAATAAGGCTATAAAACATCAACAAACTCCACAAACCTTCTTGTTGATTCACTGGTTCATAAGATAAAACATATTCCTCTTGACCACCTATTGGAAAGTTAAACAAGGATAAGAAAATCTGTAAAGCTAGCGAATGCCAACGTAGCCCTGCTCCGTACGACTCATCTAATTCTTAACGTGTAAGATGTTAGGACTTGCTGAGTAGTAACACGACACACAAAAAGGTACTTATGTCATAAGTATCCAAGGCAAGACTTACAACAAAAGAGGAGATTACTAAACCATAATGGTAAATTTAATATGTAAGACATATGTACTATTTTATCCATATGTTATTATGTGCTTATTTTATTTATACATCATCAAATCCATTAAAATCTTCATTTCTGGCTGGAGATTCAACTTACTGGCAAGGTGCCCGAGTTTGATCCCTAGTACTATAAAAAAACAAACAACAAAGCTGCCTCCCAATAGCAAAAAACAAAACCAACAAACACCCCTTCATTTGGGAACAAGAATATTTACTATAAATATGTACTGTGGCTGGATGTGGGACTGCTTGCCTATAATTCCAGCACTTGATTCTCACACAGGAGGATTAAGGTTGGCCTGGACCATATAGTGAGACTCATCTTTAAAGAAAAAATCAAATTGAGAAAAACTCAGAAAGTTGCTGAAGATACTGTTTCTGTTCCAATTGAGTATATTTAGTTAAAGCTATATTTATTTATAATTTTGTTTTAATCACAAAAGCACTTCAGATGTTAAAGCATCTTAAGTTAAAGGAGCTTTGGAAATATTATGAATGAAAACAACCTATCAACTATATCTGAACACCATGAAAACAACTGAAACTGGACTTTTAACATGTACTACAGAAAATGTTCAGGGACTGAATGGAAGCAACGAAGACTGGATAAGGTGTTTGGACAGGTTTTCTCTATCAAAATCTTGTAACAACTCTATTGCCTTGTGACTGGGTCACGATCTGTGCACATGACTACGCATGCAGCTGCCGGTGCTAAATCTGTGACAGTGGCACACACTATCTGTACTTGCTGGACACTGTGTGCTTGCTTCCAATCTCATTATTGTAGTATCACAAAACAGATACTTCATGAGCTGCTTTTTTTTATTTGTTTTTGTTTTGTAAATTACTAATGTATTCAGGCATGGTGGCATATGCCTTTAATCCTAGCAGTTAGGTGGCAGAAGCAGGTCAGATCTTTGAGTTTGACGCTAGCCTGTTCTACGTAGAGTTTCAGGACAGCCAAGGCTACACACTTAGTGTCTCAACAAAACAAAACAAAACAAAAATTACTGATATAAAAAATGGTTTACATACTGTAAAAACATGCAGTTGGATATTCCACAACTTAATAATTCATGCAAACGGTGAGAAAAGACAGTATATACTTTCATGACCTCTTTATAGTCTAGACCAACACCCAACTATCTATATTGGATTCTGGTTATAAGCAAATAAAATGCTGAAATGAAAAATTATTTTCCCATTCTTCTTTCTCAAATCATATAGCTATTATGTAGAGAAAATATTCAACAAATGAATGAGGGTTAAAAGTATATATTGCCAACATGAAATATCTGGGACTTGTAACAGGATTATTAACCTTTTGAGCAGCCATATTCATCTGTAATCAAGATTACTTTCATTTTAGACAGCAGTAAAAAAAGTTAAAAAAACAATTTTAATGTTTAAGCTGCTACAATCAACATTCACATATCCTCCTACCTTTCCATATCCCATTTGTATAGCTTAATTAACATCAGAGGTACAGCATTAAACAGCAAGGGAATAGACTATTGCTTTTTCGCAATGGTTGCATAGAATAAAAAGAAAATAAACTAATAGTGATTCAGAATTATTAACAAATACTCTTTTACTGCTTATATTAGAAAACAAAATTACTAAAGAAAATAGGAAAATACAAGTTTATTGCCCAACAGATATTTACTTTTTATAAGGTGCACACAAATCCACATACTAAGTATAGTATACATAAATAAGTTGGTAAGTGGGTTTGTTTTCATTAAAACCTTGAAATTAACCTTTCAGTATGTGGAATTTGAGGGCCCCCTTAGCCAAAATGCTTACAGCAAAAATGTTTCAGATTTAGAGTTTTATGCATTTAAAAGTATCTATACAGTCAAACTTGGCTGAACAACTCTGAATTGAAAAATTTGAAATATTAAATGTTCCAAGATCTGAAACCTTTATATTGTCACACTGTTGCTGCAGACTTTGGGCTTTGGGTTAGAGATACTCAACCTTCAGGTGATTAACCTTTTCAAGTCTATAATTTTACTTGGCTCTTCCTGGTTTAACAATCTTAGGAATCTGACTTTTAGTTTTTATAGCATCATTTAGGAAAAAGCCACTCGGTAATACTTATTAATTTTTTTTTAAACAAAAGAACAAGTAACATGAAACACTTACGGTAACTACTTTCGCTATCGCTGGCATTAGAAGTTACGTGCTCTGAAATTGAAGGGAAATGAAAAGAAAATAAAGAAAACACCGTGTTATGAACTTAAAAGCTGCTAAAAGCAAATTATCAAAATTAAACAAGATGATATTATAAATGTTGAGATATAAACCAAATATACCCACAGAATTTTTACAAAGCATTTTAGATTTTCTATGAAAAAAGTTTAATTTTTCAACTAAATTAACATGAATTGTCATAGGAAAATATCTGTATTAAAGAAAATGCCTTATATTTCTAATATAGTTTATGAACAAAATTCTCAGCAAAGAAAAGCAAGTAGAGCACAGCACAGACACAATGTAATCTCTTACTAGTCCAAACATAAACCTAAGATTTGGTACCAAAGAGGACAAGTTCCATTTGAGCAAACAGGCGCTCGATCGCTTCCTGATGGGAAAGGTATCTTTGTGATTTACAAATAGGTCAGGTCTTTCCTCTTAAACTTAGGTTTCAGAGGCCATCAAAGTTCATAGACTGCCTCAAAAAAGCCATGACAAGGGATCCGGAGATGCTGAGTGATAGTACGTTCTAACAGGTCAGCATTCCTTAGCAATTCCCCTTCGATAACAGACTTTGTGAAACAAAACAACTCTCCCCACAAATATTAGTAAACAGCCGCCTAACTCTGGTCAGACAGAGGTGGCCCCATTTTATGACTTGATCACTCGTAAACGACAGGCACTCCTCATCTCTCAATAATAAATATCTTCCTTGAATGAAAGAGCAAAAATTTTATTCAGAAAAAAAAAAGAAGGAAAACTTTCAAGGACAGAGGGAAACCCAATTTTCTAACGTTCGGGAGAGAGAAGAGCAAAGAGCACGTCTCAGGGCGGACGGTGCTTGAGGTCAGCTGCGCCTGAGCTTCTGGAAATCGACAGTCTGCCGGAAGGCACAACAGACCTTGGAAGAGTGCGAAACAAACCTGTTGATTTTAACCTGCAGAAGAAAGATTATAATTCTCTAAAAAACTCTGTGTGTAGGTGTGTGTGTGTGTGTGTGTGTGCTCACCCACAAGTCAGCAGCAAGCATCTTTTCTACTAGCTCTCCATCTTATTTTTAAGGTTGCTTTTCACTAAGCCTGGAGCTCACTGGGGAAGACCAGACAAGTCTGACAAGTTCCCCCATTTTCACTCCTAAGGGCTGGGGTTACAGGCATGTGCCATTTCATGAGGCTTTGTCCTTATTTCCTCTTAAAAAAAAAGGTCCCCATGCTTGTGAGAAAAGCACTTTACTTCCCAGTCTTAAGATGAAGACCTTTCTTAATCACAGTTTACATTTTAAATAAAGCACTTAAAAGTGTTAAAACAGTTTAGGGGAGGGAAAGTTGCCTTCCTCAGTGCCATTCCAAGCTGCTCACCAAATGACCCGGCCCCACCATGCTCAAGGAAACTATAAAGTCAGTGCGCTGTAAAAAGGAAACAAAAGACCATGAAAGAGAGACTTGTGGGAGGAAAAAAGGGTTCAGTGGGATCAGAGAGGATGAAGGGTAAAAATAACTAAAATGTACATATGTATGAAACTGCCAGGGAATAAAACAGAAATTGGTAATGATTTTTCTTACAACTTAAGAAACATCAACAAAATAATTACACCTAAAAATTAGAAAGAGAATTGACTACTATATGACAAGCACATGTGAAAGTAGGTATTTTAAAGTTTACATTCATCTTTTTTTTCCATTTTGATGTGTGCATATGGATGTTTTGCATGGCTGTGTGGCTACACATGCATGTGGAGGCCCCAAGTGCATGTTGGCAACTATCCCCAGCAGCTCTCCTACCTTTTCAGAGATGCCATATCTCCATCAGCCTAGAGCACACTGACACTGCTGGTCTCTCTTGCTTGCCCTGGGGACCCTGTTTTTGCCTTTAGAGGCTGGAATTACAGGCAGGCTGCCATACCCACCCAACATTTACATGGGTCCTGGGGTTCAAATCCTGCTCCTTATAGTTGTAGGGGTAACTGCTTTAAACACTGAACCATCTCTTCAGCCCCGCCCCAACTGTTTTCTCATGTTAGTACATGAATTTCAATATAAGCATTTGAAATTCTCAAATGATATTCAATTTAACTTATAAATTCTAATTCACCTGTTATTTAGACATTTCAGTTTGCTTTAAACTGTTTTTACATTAAAAATTCTAAGTATCTTCATTTATACCACTTTTTAACCTATCCTATTTCTTCAAAATTTGTTCTAAGAAATAGGAATGCCACAAAAACAAAAACTTCAGAAGTCTGTATTAGAATTGGCATTATAATCTTCAATCTCTAAGTTGTAAAAGAAAGAAAAATTAGTTATCTGCAGGATGAGAATAAGTGTGTACATAAGAGACAAAACTGATTAATGCTGAGCTAGTGATTATGAAGTGGGTAAATGAATAACACTGCAGGGTTTACGTTTACTATTCTGTAAGTCAATACATCTGACATACTATAGAGTAAAATGTTACTATTCTTTCTTTTGTATTTTACCTACTCACCTTGAGCTCTTTAAAAATGCCAAAAGGCACATGTAATAAACTTTCGTGGGTTCTTCACATTTTTCTGTATGTGGTTCCTCTATAATAAAACCTTGCTACTCAGAGGGTGGGCCTTAGACTAGGACAGCCACTGGTACTGCTTGAACCAACAAGAGAGGTAAAGTGCCCCTCACTATTCTGTTGGGGCTGGGGCTGGGGCTGGGGCTGGGGCTGGGGCTGGGGCTGGGGCTGGGGCTGGGGCTGGGGCTGGGGCTAGGGTTATAGCTCAGTGGTACTGTATTTGCTTAACAAGAGGAAGCACCTGGGTCCAAGCCCTAGCTCTGCCAGAATAAAAAATAACAAAAACTTGAACATAATTTATCAAAGAAAGTTAGATAGATAATACATAGATTAAAAGGTGTTTAAATTTACTTCCGACATAACAAAACCAGACATGCCTAGGGAAGACAAGGATACGAAGCAGTCAGAGTCATTTACTGGGGTTAGGCATGAGGGTAAAGACATCTGGAAAATTATTTGCCAGAGCAGTGATCCCTAGATATTCAAGGAAGGCTGGTTCCAGGTCTCCAAGGTAATAGAACCTGTAGGATCTGCATGTATTTCCTGCTCTCCTCCTCTCCTTCCGAGACAGAGCCTCACATAGTTCAGACTGTCCTGTAACAGGCAGCCGAGTCTGTCCTTAAACTCCTCCTCACGGAGCCTCTAACATCCCAGATGGTGGGACTGTAGGTAGGCACAGAGCACCACCACTGGCTCCTGTATACTTCGATTGTTTTTTGATTCTGTAATACCCAATATAGTGCGAATAACGGCTACACTGTGTGTTCAGAGAATGAGAAGGGAATTAAATCCAACTCAGTATACCATTGGAGGCTGTGAAGTAAATAATAGTAAATAAAAGTGTTATGGAAAGCCTGGGAATCTGTGAAACGCAGGATGCTGCAGTAGACACTATTACTTCGTATCTGTTCATTTATTGCAGTGCTTTGCCTATGTGGCAAACTCAAGTTATGTTTTGCAAATATCTGAACTTTTCTCCCCAAATATTTTCAATCTGCAGCTGCTTCAATTCATAGATATGGAAACCATGCATATGGAGAGCCAATTTTGTAAAGCTCAACAAATATATATGCATGACCTAAAAATTTCTCCCCTTCCTACATATTTCCCCAAAAGAAAGACACATATCTGAATATCAAAAGATATGCACAAGAATATTCAAAACAACACTATTACAAAGTGTCAAGCACATTTTGTTTGCATATCTGCAATGTGTAGCTTCATTTTTATTTTGTTTGTATTGTGAGCATTTTCCATGTCATCTGTGTGTTGGCCAGCCTGGTCTCAGACTTGTGATGCTTCTGCTTCCTGTACTTGATGTAGATATATTCTTCAGGTCTAGGGCTTCGTGTGAGGTACGTCAGATGCAAATTTAAGACCTCCATTCATCCTCTTACTTTAGGAAAGAATATTCTCTAAATCTCTCTTCCCCATCACCTCCTCTTTCCCACCTCTTCTATTTTTAAGATGCCTGGTGAATACAGTTATTTCAAATGTAAGCACATTTTACCTTTCTTCTCAAACATTTCCTTCCTGGTAGGGTATGCATGTTTATTCTCCTTATACCCTCCATGTGCTACACTGCCAACACCAAGCAACTAGTTAACATCTTATTTGATACACAAGTAAAAGCAAGTGTGGCTTTGGCACTTGAGAGCTTTGCACAACTCTGCTTACATAAGTATTTAAAACAAGAGGAAAGTAAACAGATAGAAGAAACCTATGTGGCTATCTGGTGGTGGAAATTGTAAAACCAGAAAACAAAAGTGTTTTTAAACTGTGTGCTATCACTTCACTTCTGAGCACCCTGTCCACCTCCTGTTGAGTCATATCCCTTTTAGTGTTATTTTGAATCAGCTTATACATTAGTGAAGTCATAAGTAATGTCCTGATGTACCCTTCTTCCAGTATTTCCTCTATAATAACAAGCAGCCTGTAATGCTTTATGTGTTTGTTTTATGTGATAACCTCCTTCATACCCAGTTTTAGAATTCTACTGGTATTTTTCTGCTCCTCCAATATTTTCTGAATAAAAGTTTGACCTTTAGGTTGCCAAGTTAATAAATTCTTTCAATTCCTGTGAGATGAAGCAAGTACTCGTGATCCAGTGAATTATAATATACCGTGCAGAAAATGAAATCTTTTCCTAAGTGACACTGCCTAATAATCTGTTACTTTGCATAAATTTTCCTTAAGGAAGTTTCTATTTCCAATTAGAGACATGGGGCAAGGTATAAATCCCAGAGCACTGGTAATCTGTGGGAGATATTTTCCAGTTATTGAAGGTTTTCACTTATAATTTTTCCAAAGTGTAAAACATTAAAAAGAAGCTGCTGCAGTGACAGGAAATCTGAGGGTACTACCAGTTGTATTTTTTAATTAAAAAATTGTATACAACATATTTTGATTATGTTTTCCCCCTACTTCAAGTCCTCTCAGATCCTTTCTAACCCACCCAACTAACAAAACACAAACAAGAGAAGAGCAGAGTATGCCAAGAGCAGAGCCTGCCTAGTGGAGGTACTGTATACCAAGTGCTCTCCTCAGCTTAACGCAAACCTATGCTGTTAGGATCAAAGTCAAAGTATCTACCTAAAAATTTTAAGACTTATTATTTAATGATATAATTCTTAGAAGATTAACTAGTTAACTATCAGTAAAACTTCAAGAAAGTTTTCAAAATGCCTAATGATTCAAATGAAATGTAAACAACTTAACAAAAAAATTTAGCTTGAATGTTCATTTCTATGAATAGAGATCACCTAAATTAACTTAGCAATATTTGATGACTTTTCATACTTAAGCAAATTGAAAACACTCCAATTTAAAACAGCATCTCACTCTGCAGATGCGGCTGGCATCATATTCATAATGTCAGGACGGGTTCCAGGCTTGTGTCCCAGGCTTGGCTCTGGCTCAGTCATTTATTAGATTTCGTCTATGATATGTCTACGTATCAGCATCTACTAATCTTCATGTGATGACTAGTTACTTAGTTGGAAGTTAAGAACAGCAAAAACAGGAACAACAAGTCCAAACACCCTCTTGGCTAGAGGAGAAACAATTACAATGTGCTCTATAATGCTGCTTATAATCTGAAGAGGATATCCCATTTCCCCTAGACTGTGCTTGAACTTGTTATCTACCTTATACTTTCACATTAAAGCAAGGGTTTTCTAACACGTAACTGTAGTGATTTAAACTTGTTTTAAAAAGGGAGACACAAAACTCCAAAGCTGTACATGTCTATATTCTATTATGATGGGCAAATGATATTATTAAAAAAAAAACTTTAAAAAAGCCTATACTTAAAAAACTTTCTGCCAGGTGGTGATGGCGCACGCCTTTAACCCCAGCACCTGGGAGGCAGAGGCAGGCGGATTTCTGAGTTCGAGGCCAGCCTGGTCTACAAAGTGAGTTCCAGGACAGCCAGGGCTACACAGAGAAACCTTGTTTCAAAAAATCAAAAAATCAAAAAAAAAAAAAAAAAAAAAACAAAAAACTTTGTAGAAAAAGTAACTACCAGAAAACTATGAAATTTAAAATGTAACTGAGTTTCTCAAGTGTCATGTTAAAAAGGGAACACAAGAAAACAAAAATTGTATCATAGAAGTAAAGATCCCAAGCTTGTTATAAACATGGAAAGCCTAAAAGCTGTCTGAAGCACATACCTCCTCATGCCAGGAAGGCACTACTGTGAACCTCAAAATGCCCCTGAATAAAGTAGGAGGTTAAAAAATAACTTGGGAGTATTTTGATCACTTACTCAGGCCTTTTGATCCCATGTCGTCAGGGATCTCCTGTAGAGAGTAGTCCCCAGAGAGCAAGCAATAAAAAGATAATCAAAGAAAATAGTTGTCAGTGATGCATAGAATTGGTGCTACAGTAAGAGACAGTTCCAAGACCATTACAGGTACACACAGCTTACAAAGCTAGTTATAGATTTTTCAAAATTTAGAATGAGCTACCAACTAAATGTTATCTATAAAAAGGATGAAAACTGGAGCTTAGAGGTTAATTAGAAAAGAAAGGCAAATTTTTAGGCCATTTTGATATTTTACAAGTAAAATTTACATTATCTATATTTAATGATGAAACAAGATAAAACAGAAGGATTCCAGATGATCTAGTAGTATCAGAAACTGACAGTACTTTACCTACAAATTAGGTACTTTCATTTTTTTCCTCAGAAATACTGGACTGTGTAAATGTTAAGTGCTTATTATATGAACCCTAACTTCAAAGAATTGTATTTATTTTTATATGTTATAAACAGATTAAGATGCAGTTCAAGAGTTCTTAGGTGTCAGAAAAGTTAAGACTGGTATACAAATTAATTTGTGTGTATTAAATTTCCCTGGTGAAGAAAATCAGTCACCTGTTGCAGCTCTTGAAACTGTCTCCATGGTAACAGCCAACTGCAGGGCAGTATGTCCCTCTACGTTCTATTATCAGTTGACCAATGGATCCACATACTTACGGTCAGCATCACTTGTTTCCTGCTCACTCTGGTCCTTGTTCTTGTAGAAGGGAAATTTTCGGGAAAAGAGGTTCTTTTTACGCTTGTCATTGAATGACTGCTGAAGAAGAGAAGGAGGGGGCAAAACAAAGGGGTGTCTACTTCCGTGTGCACAAAGGCCCAGCCTAGCAGCTATGGAAGCTGACTCCTGGGACCACAGTTTGCATGCAGTCTGCATGAATTTTATACTGTTCACATGAAAAACGAATTTCTAATTTTGTATAAGGTTTTATAATTCTATTATTTTGTAAATGGTCAATATTAAAATTCTAGAGCATTCAGTTTTATCTTAAAGAACAAATGCTACTTGACAAAAATGTTAAAAAGGGTTAATCAGATTACTATTATAGTATAAACCAAGGTAATATTTATTTATATGACTATGTATTTTTCTAGGAAATTTCCAAGGTACAGTACCAGGTAGGTGATACCACATTATTTTTAACATTACATTGCTGCTCACTTATCTTTTATATATTAGGTAGCAATCTTGATTTTACTTTGTCCTAATTATACATTTTCTTTTATGCCTTTGTGGCCACAATAAATTAACACAATAGCTAGTATTAACAAAGCAAACCTAAATAATTATGAGGATGTTCCTAATTAAAAATTTCTTTTTCAAGAGAAAAAGGTAAGTGATGAGCTCTGTGACATACAAATGGAAAGACATCTGTGCAGTCACTGACTGGAGCTCGTGAGGCACGAAGAACGATGACATTTACTGTAGAGGAAGAGCCCAGAGCAATTCTTCTGTTCCAGGCTTTCTTAGTGGAAATGACATTACCTACCAGTGACATTAGAACTAATGATCTGGAGTGGGGATATAAGACGAGTTTTTTGGAAGGCAGTGCTAGGGATGGGAAGTGCTTCACCAATAAGCCACGCCACTAGTCCCAAAGATAGAAAATCTGCTTTCATTTTTCAAGTTGAACTGTGCCCAAAGATGCTACACCAACCCTTTACCAACCACCATTTACTTTCCAGGGCTTCAGTTCCTGTTGGTCAATCTGGTTTGGAAATAGAGTGGACTACTTCAGAAATGAACAATTCACAAGTTTGTTTTTTTTTGTTTTGTTTTTCGAGACACGGTTTCTCTGTATAGCCCTGGCTGTCCTGGAACTCACTCTGTAGACCAGACTGGCCTCGAACTCAGAAATCCATCTGCCTCTGCCTCCCAAGTGCTGGGATTAAAGGCGTGCGCCACCACTGCCCGGCAATTCACAAGTTTTAAGCTGTATATTTTTTCTAAACTTGCTATGAATATCACGATGAAATCATATGCTACGTTGGCTCCAACCTATCTAGGATATGAGTTATCTTTCTGTGCAGTGCATCTACTTTGTATATCCTATTGTCTCAGGAGTGACTGGGTAGTCATCTTTGTTCAGACTGCTGTCTTGGTATCAATGTGTTTATGTTAAAGTAAACATTTAATGCACCAAAGCACAAGAGTAGCAACAATGGCTATTCTATTGTTATAATTATTGTGTTATTATTAATTTCATGTGCTAAGACATGCATCTACAAGAGACATGCAGCACATATGGGTTGTCCCGTCCATGGCTTCAGGTACCCACTACAGTCCTGGAATGTACTATACTCAGGTCAGGGGGGATTAACCATACATCACTGAGGCATGTGAACACCAATCTGTATTGCATATCCTTGTTTATAATCATGTGGTGCGAACACTTAGGGAGTCCTAAGTGAATTAGATGAGTAAATTCACAAGCCAGACAACTTATCTTAGAACATGAAACTCTGGAGGAACTAGAGAAAAAGAGAACTCTTAAGCAGAAGCTAAAGCTGCATTGCTGAGAGGAAGGACTGCAGTCTGGGTTGGCAGCCATTTTATAAGCTGTCAAGTAGCATCACGTGGTTAAAAATACTTGTTTGAGTCTAAATTTTAGAAAGGAGAAAATGTAAGTTTTAGGCAGGAAAAAAAGGTAATCTCTCTCTCTCTTTTTTTTTTCATGAGAATTGCTCGCTTAAGCTCATGGTTTTTGATAAAATTGGCTTTTATTTTATTTTTAAAAAAGGTTATTTACCCTGTTTACTGCATATATAGTGGTCAGAGTCAGTTTCCTAGCACACAACCAAAGAAACATGTAATTTAAAATGTTTTGATTTTTGTTATCTTTCCAGTTAGCCAAAATGAGATAGCTCAAGGACACTGTAATATAGGATAGAAAGATGTGTGTTAGTTAAGAAATGTATTAATTATATTAATTTAATATCACCCGGGTGAAGAACGTATTAAAAGTGCAAATATAAGTAGCATAAGCAAACAATTAAAAAAAAAGTGTATGGAAAATACAAAACTGAAGAGATATGAAAAAAAAACCTTCAGTTTTTCTTTATTTTCAATAAAAATTATCTTTACTTTTTAAATATATTAATGTCTTGTAAGAGTGCAATAAATACAAGAAATGATACTATGCCACAAATTCATGATAGGTTTTATTAAACACAGGTATATGTAGCTCCAAATGTAGCATTTCAAAAACAGCCAAATGAGTGCTAAAAATGTTAGTGAGGAACTGAAATGTTAAAGGCCAGTACCGAAACGAGCCTGCAGATCATCACGTAAGGAAAGGGAAGGAGGAAGGGAAGACATTATTGAAAGAAATGCAGTTCTGTATCAATGGCAAGCGTAGTTTTACCCCACTCAGTACCATGCATACTTCTGGTGCTGTGTTAGAACACAGTGACTGTGTACAAAGTTGGTTACCGTCAACAAAGACTAAGATTTAAATGCCGTTAATTAAGTTAACTTCTCGTAGAATGAAAGAAAGTTAAAAACATGCATCCTCTTTTTAAATTCATTGATAGTTTACTGTACTGATTTCTTTTTAAATACACATATAAGACAAGTACAGAAAACACGGAGTTATTTAATATCCTGAATATTTACTTGGGATTTTTCTTTTAATAAAAATTTCTAACTTAAATATTACTTCAGGTTATAAGATGTAATTATGATTCTGAATTTTATAGAATTTTATCACTTTCTAAAACTGAATTATATAAAATTCATCCAGATTTAATTTCTTTGACATATTAAAGCTGTAAGCGCTGACTGCTTGGTGACATCTGATGTCCAGTGATGGTAATGTCTAATAATATCTATTTATTTTAAGTATAAAATTTGCTTCAGATAAAAACCAAACAAACCCAAAGATATAAACATTATGGAAAGCATTTTAATGCAGCATGTGTAAAAGTTCTTTCTTCAGGCTCATTTAAGAACATTCCACTGCAGGCTATGGGTAACGAGGAATTGTGCACATACTGTAACTATCTTACCCATCTATCAGCATGTTTTATTTTCACACATCCAAACAGATTTAAACTAAATGAAAAATAAACATCTAAATATTTAAAAATTTTGATACATTTTCCCACTTTCTATACAACTTCTTTTGAGTTTATTCCAAGATTATAGCTTTGTGTTGATCTTAACATCAAATATTGGATTCTAGTAAAAAACTTATTAAGGGATGAAAGGGAAACAGAACAAAGACCTCTCTACACGGCTTCACCTGTAACAACTTGTAAACTTCCACTGTGACTTAAATTAAAAAAAACACCCCACACCCCAACCAATCCTCTTTAATGACAGGGTCTTACTATGGAACTCTCGATATTCTGAGATTCACTATGCAGAGCAGGTTGGCCTCAAGCTCACAGAAATCTGTCTGCCTCTGCCTCTTAACTGCCGTGTGCCACCATGTCCAGCAGGTAATAATATTTAATGGAAGTATAGTATAGAAGAATCATTAAACTAGCTGTTCCATAACATATGCAATTAAAGCATGCCTGCTGCCTCTCTGCTTCTCTACGCCTTGATTGTTTAAGTGTGCATCATCAACTCAACAGTCTAGCTAAACCACTGAAAGCTTAAATTCATATCATTTATAGAATACTGATCAAAAGTTACTAAGAATCTATCAAACAACATAATCTGAGAAGGCCTGCAGAACAGGAACTTTATAATGAGTGACTACTACTATTCTAATCTGTGGCAAGAGATGTGCACAGTTACTTCTTACGGTAAGTCTTCTCATTTTAACAAGAGCCAAAATGAAAATTACAGAAATGTACGAGATTTTGTATACTCACCCCTTTATCTCCTCTTGTTTTAGAATTGAATTTGACTGTTTTTAATCGGGCTCGTTCTTTCTTCTCAACTCTGTCAAAGTACAGAATGTTATTGTCTTTGTTACTGGAGACTGAATTCTAAGCCTTATATACATTAGACATATTTTCTAGCACTGAGTCCTCATTTCTCAAATTTTTTTGTTTTTAATTTGGAGTTTTCCTATGTGTCTAAGACTGATGGGAAAATCTTGATTCAAAACCTTATCTTCTGAGTCCCTGGAATTTATAGGTCTACATTACTATTCCTGGTTATAATATTTTCCTCTTAAAGATTTTTGTGTGTACATGTGTATGTGGAAGTCAAAGGTCAGTGTTAGGTGTCTTCCTTACTTGCTCCCTACCATTAAAAAATACATTTAATTATATGTATGCATGTATGTATGCATGTACATACGTATCCATGCATTCACGCCTGTGTGTAAGAATAAACAAGTGTGTAGGTATCCAGGAAGGATAGAAGAGTTGGATTCTCTGGGCACTAAAGTCATAAGCATACATGACTTAGATGCTGGGAAGCAAACTTGGGTCCTCTGCAAGAGGCAATACATGCTCTTAACTACTGAGCCATCTCTTCAGCTCCCAGCCGACTTTTTTGAGGCAGGGTTTTCTACTAAATCTACAGTTTACCTATTTGGCTAAGCATGCTCCAGAGATCTTCCTGTCTCTGGTTTCCCCAGTACTGTCCTGAACCTAACATGTTTATGTGGGTGGGATACCCGTGTGATACTTTACAGGCCCTCACCAGTCCTTAGTAAGTCCAATACAGTTAAGAGCCTTGCTTGACACCACTTATTCTAAAATTCCTCAAACTTGCAGATAAATGATATACCAGTTTACTGTGAAGTAAGAAACCTCTTTAAGAAGTACCAAACCGCCGGGCAGTGGTGGCGCACGCCTTTAACCCCAGCACTTGGGAGGCAGAGGCAGGTAGATTTCTGAGTTTGAGGCCAGCCTGGTCTATAGAGTGAGTTCCAGGACAGCCAGGGCTACACAGAGAAACCCTGTCCCTAAAAAAAAACAAAAAACAAAAACAACAACAACAACAAAAAAAGAAGTACCAAACCACAGTATACAAGTATACACTTACAAGCACTCAGTTGTATAATTACACTAGAAACAGTCAGACATTATTTATGACTTTAGTCAGTTTCCAGGATTCATTCTTTCTTTCTTTCTTTTTCTTTCTTTCTTTCTTTCTTTCTTTCTTTCTTTCTTTCTTTCTTTCCTTCCTTCCTTCCTTCCTTCCTTCCTTCCTTCCTTCCTTCCTTCCTTCCTTCCTTCCTTTTTTTTTTTTTAAAATACTGGCTTAGCATAGAACATATATGATGAAAATAAAGTTTGAGGGAGAAAGTAAATGTACAAAACTTAACAATTTGGATGCATATTGTATTAGCTTGAAAAATTTTGTACTGTTCTGTGGCTCTGAAATATAAAACCATGTGGAAAAAAATTAAGTGTAATTCCAATAACCTATATGTATAAGATATAATAGTCTACAAGTCAGGGTTGAAAAGGGAGAACAACAGGTAGCCTTCCTTATGTCTTTGAGGGTGAAAGGTAACTTTGGGAACAGGTTAACAGATGTCAGAAGGACTTTAAAAAATGTTGAATTCTTGAATCTCTATATCGAGCATGGAGGCTCACTGTGAGCTTGAGGTCAGTCTGTGTGATAGAGTGAATTCTAGCGAGGCTGGGCTACAGTCCTGTTTCTCAAAGAAACAATAAAAGGGTCACCTATTCAAATATGCAAATTAACCCAAAAAACCTTTAGATACAGTGATATCAATCTGAATCATGCAAATTTGGTTTAACATAAATTTAACTTTTTATAAACTTTTAATTTTCAGCTTATTATTACATTATAGCCTACTGCAGGAAAATCCAGCAGAATATCCTATGAAAATTATCTAGCTAATGTTTTACTGTGGGTATAACACATTCTCAATACTCATAGATTAAAGCATACTCCAGAAGAATAGTTGGGAATCTATGGCATGAGTAATTTGTAAACTTGTTCCAGTACTTACTGAGGGTACCACTAAACTAGAATTAAATAAATAAACATTTACCATTCAAAAATGGAGTTTTCTAATCATTGTTTTGTTCAGTAAATAGATAGTATTTGTAAATGCTATCTCTGAAATAAAATCAAGAAGTGTGAGAATTGTAACTTTTAATAGTATTAGAGTTCTGGATAAAAGACATTTTTACTTAAGAAAACATAAATTTTAAAAACATTCAAGAAAAAAATAAAGGTGCCTGTGTCTCCCTGAAGCTGGCAGTTATGAACTGTGTCCAGAGCCACCAGGGCACTGTGGAAGGATGGCATGCCTCTCTTTAATGTACAGAAAAGGCTGGGTATTAGTCTAGATTGTCACTTGATCCAAAGTGCTGAACAGCCCTTCAGGATCCCTCTCAGTGCCATGCTTTTGAGAAACAGACAGAACGTGCACGTGGAATTGGTACTCTCTGGGCTTAAAAAGAGTGCAGTGTAAATATGAAGATTTATTTTGGGGGGAGGGTGGGACACACTGATGAAGGGTATGGGTGACATCAAACGGCAGCAGGATAATGGGGGGGCCTCCCCACCACATACCCACACCTTTGGGCCAAGGGGAAACCAAGGCCCTGGGCAGAGCAGCTGGAGGCTGCATTTGATGCTCTGCTTTTCATAGAAGACTGTTAAACGAAAGCTTCACCTAAGTGTGTATAAACAAAAAACCACTATCTTACATATAAATAAAATGGCAAATGTGTTGTGTCTTCTTACTGTGTTTTATAGTAGGAACCTAATACTTTACAGTACTATTTATGAAGCAGAGGATGAATAGACACTTCAAGATATATCCCGTGTTCACTCTTTCCATCCAAGTCAGCACTGTCTCTCACTGACTGAGGGCACATGGAAAGCCTTTCTAGGGTATAAGGCTCCAAAGAACAATTTTTAGGAGATGAAACTTTAATATTTAAGATGTGAAGGTTCTACTGAATTAAGAAGGCAGACAGGAGTTTGTGAATTAAAGCATATTATATTCTAATAAAAGAAAGAAGAATGCCGGAGGCTGCACTCCTATGAGGCTGCACTTCATAAGATTTTCCATCAAACATGATTATACCACAGATGGATCATGCTAAATGTATAGTTCTAGCTAACAACAGTGATAACCCTCCAATCAGTAATTACAAATCTTGGCAATACTTCAACATTGTTCTTGGGCTTAAGTGTAGTTCAGTGATAGAATGGTGGTTTGGCATGCACAAAACCCTGGGGGGCTCAATCCTTAATATCACAAATAAAATAAAGTATTTCTGTTTGTGCTATAAGACAAAATATGTTTTGGTGTATTTTTCAGTTCAAAGAAGTATAAATCCAACTCATCAATGAACTTGAAGCTAAACGAAGGAACCAGCTATAGTAAGCATGGACACCACGTTTGCGGGCTACCTTGACATAAGTCTAGTTAATAAAATAAAAAAAGACAGGAAGCATACTACAAGATTTTCCTTTCTTCTATTCCTTTTTAAAAAAAAAAATTTATTTTTTTTGTAGCCCTAGGGACTGAACTCAGGCCTCATGCATGCTGAGAAATCAAACCCAGTTTTCTAGAAGAGCAATCAGTGCTCTTAACTGCTGAACCGTCTCTCTAGCCACCTCAAAGGTAGTTTGGTGACAGTTTATTTTCTAGTTATATCAGTGGTTACTTTTCTGTTTGTTTGTTTGAGACAGTCTCAGTATGTAGCTTAGATTGGCCTGAAACTCACAGAGTGTATATGCTACCTCACCAGAACCTCCACTGGTTACATTTAAATGTGACAGAATTAAATAGTAATGACTCTCACAATGAAAAACAAAGCATAGAATCACTATTCAAGAAAAGATAATGATTTATTCATTGAGCTTTAACTTTTTAATTCATTAATCATGGGGTTCAAAGCCTTTTAAAAACTGTGTATATTTAAGTATAGTACTGCATACCTGCAATCCTGGCACTTGGAAGGCTCAGACAGAAAAAGGTATTGAGAATTCAAAGTCAGCCTGTGATACATAGCAACACTATGTCTCAAAAGACAAGGCTGAGGAGATGGCTCAGTGAATAAAATGTTTAATGCACAACTCAGATCCTTAGAATCAACACAAAACAAGAAAAGGTAGTGTATGTTTGCAATCCCTGCAGTGCTACTATGGTGATGTAGAGACAGGAGGATCTTTGAAAGCTCACAGGACTAGCTAGCCCTATATAAGCAGTGGTAAACAAGAGATCCTGCTGCAGACAAAGCAGAAGACAAGGACTGACACCTAAGGTTTCCCTGACTCTCTCTCTTCCCCTTCTCCCTCTCCTCCCTCTCCCTCTTTCCCCTTTCCCTCCCCCCCCCCCCACATCCCTCCCTATAATTTGATATGTACAGGTAAAACAAGTGCTACAAATCACGTTAATTTGACACCTCAATAACCTCTCACACAATTGCTTTTAAAACATTCTTTTGATGGTGAAAAATTTAGACTTTGTTAGCAAATTTCAAGTATACACGTCAGTCTTGTTACTAAGACTCATCACAGTACACTCTGGAATTTATTCTTTTATAACTGAAACTACCTTATCTCTGACCAATATCCTCCCATTCCTCCTCCACCCACCCTCCTGTAACTTCTAGTAACCGCCAGAATATTTAACATTTCACATAAATGAAATACAGTGCTTGACTTTCTGTATCTGGCTACCTTCATTAAGCATAATGTTTCTATATAACACAGTAAAAGAAATGTCAAGTAAACAATTATTTATTAATGCCCTACTTTGAGGCAGTAAGAAAAACTGTTTACCTGCGTTTACTAGGAATCACTCCAACTTCGTCACTCTCACCATCGGGGGTGACCTGTCTGGCTTGCCACCATTCGTCGTCGGAAGCATTGATAACATGGAGAATATCTCCAAATTTGAAGTTTAATCCTTGACTGGGAAGGCCACTGTCTTTAGTCTTGTCATAATCAAAAAGGGCTCTAGACTCAAGAAAAAAGTTCATAACAAGTTGTTATTGTGGTATTAATCAATTTAAAAAATTCATGGGATGCCAGAAGTATATATAATTTGTACATACAAATTATTAATATAGTATAAAAAGGTTAGGGTTGATTTTACATTATATGTAAGACAATAACAGCAACAAAAAAGAAATCACAGAAATCACTGTGTAATGGAAACAGTCTAAGTATATTATTTATTGTGTTTAGAACAGACTGCATGCTTGGTTATTTATTTGATACTGGAAACTGCTGTATTGGATATGAGCATATATATGAATTGCTATAGGCCCAAAACTCAGTCTTCTTGCCTCAGCCTCCTGGCTTCTTTATCTTAGTGCTTTCTTACTGTGCTCCACTCACAGTTTCTACTGGATAGTGACACAGAGAGAGGGCTTTAGAGCGCTGGTCCCAGTGTTGGGCCCAACACTTCCTGGAGTATGCGGCCCTTTGCTTTACTCTGACAGGTTATTTGGCTTCCCTTTGCCTTTTCTTTCCTATTAGATGGGGCTTATAATGATACATTGTAGAGTTGTTCTGAGGACTCCATCAGGTTTAGTAAAGTGTTTTAGAGAAATTTTAAAAATCTCTGAGTATACTGGGTTACATCTGTACTTTCACCTCCCAAGGAAGACTGTTTGAGTCTAGTAGTTCTGGGTGAGTTTTGGTAATATATTGACATGCTGTCTCACGATAAAGAATAAATATAAAAAATTTGGCTCCCCAAATTTCATTAAATAGAATATAATAACAAACTATATTAGATTTGTAAATGAGAAATTATATAGCTATTCTAATAAATAAAATGCAAACATTATTATCTACTTTGATTAGATAGTTAGAAAAAACCCTCCCATCCATAGATTAACTAGCTAGATAAGCAAATATAAGTTGGTATCAATATAGTGATTATTTTGCAAGCTAATTACTTCTTCCACTTGTTTGCAAATGTAGAATTAACATTAGTTTAAAAGTCATTATCCAGCCTGGTCTACAGAGTGAGTTCCAGGACAGCCAGGGCTATACAGAGAAGACCTGTCTTAAAAAACCAAAAAAAAAAAAAAAAAAAAAAAAAAAAAGGCATTATCAAGTACAAATTGCCACATTATTTTAAAAAGATATTGTATTAATTTAATTTACAGCAGAAAAATGTAAAGTCTTTATAATTTGTTAAAAAGAAATTAACTAATTAACATACAATATTTAAACTTAATTCTTCAAGTCTAAATAAACTCTCTTTAAAAGTACAAGAAAAGGCTGGACTGAAGTGCACTTGCCAGGCAAGCACAAGGCCTTGAGTTTGAGTCTTAGTACCGGGGAGAAGGGGAATACTGTGATCCCAAGCACTTTCAGCAAACAAGCAAAGAGAACCAAAGAGAACTGTGGCAAACAGACTGAAATACTAAACAGTTATTCTTTATCTTAATCTGAAAACTGAAAAATAAGGTAAACTCTTTCCATGCTATTTAGCACTTTAAGTCTTTTATAGTATTACTTTCTTATTTTGTTATTTTATGTGTATGTATTTGCATATACAGGCAACTATAATCTAACCAGGCTCATACAGTCACTACTAAAACATCAACCTAAATTTTCTTTTATAGTCCACATTTTGTCTTTCTTTATACCACTGTTAATTCAAAAGGTCACATAATTTACATTATTAAAGTTAAAATAGTCTAACTCTTGAGGGTATAATGTCAGAAAATCACTCATGAAAATGTTTTTAGTGGTTTGCGCTGAATTTTTCTATAGTAAATCCAAGTCAGTCACAGTAAACAAACAGGATCTGCTCACACAGACAATTAGGTGATGTCACGATTACACATGACACTTACCTGACATAGAGGGATCGCTTCTGGCTAGTTCGAAGAGACCCCGACCCTGAACTAATGCTGCTGTTCATCATCTGCTCCCGTAAGTCATGGATTTTAGCTTCAAAACGACTGTACTCTGATGGGGAAAAAAGAAACTAAATATTCCTAAAAACTAGTTTTTAAAAATAAAATATAAACTATACAAAGTGTCTTAAACCTGACCAGGTAGGCTAGAAGTTTAAAACAGTGATAAACTTTTAGCTGTATGAGAAGTTAGAACCAGCTTACAGAAGATGTCTTTGTTCAAATCACAGTTAAGACAACTCTATGAAACAAATAACATGAACAATTTTATATTTTCATTTGGATGTAAAGTTTAAAGATAGAAATTATTCCAGTTTTCAATAAAAATGAAATTTATAGTAATTGATGTCAGATGCTTTGATGGATGAAATTTTCTCCTTTAGAAAAACCAGCTAACACTTTTTAAATGTAGAACTTATGTAGAGTTAATAACAATGAAAAAAAAAAATCCAGCCAGCCAACAGAAGGGCTAAATAACTATATTGTAATTTTTAATTTGCTGAAATGATACAAAAGGCAATCAGAAGCCACATTCATAACATTTTAAAAAACATTAAAAAAATTTTTTTTACAATGACTATTTTAAATTATACAAATGTTCAAGACTACTGAATCCCCTTGGAACTGTGAACCTGTGAGCCTGATCAAAGCTGTGGCTCACAACAGTATCCTTTGTTGATGATGTAATGTATCTTCTACTTTTGTTTTTTTTCTGATGTGTCTACACAGACTGAGGCTATGTCTCATGCTCTATGAGATATGCCTCCCATGTAGCCCCCCTAAACTTACATCTGTCTTGTTACTAAGTCTGATAATGTTATTGTCTTTGACCACTTGATGAGGGGTGCCTGATGCGTTATCTCTTCCTTTCAAGAGAATTATTAAATATGTATACATCTCTTAAGTCTTTAAAAAAAAAAGCCTAGTTATTTATTGTGTGTTGAGGGAGGGCGTGCATATACCATGGACCCTGTGTGGACCCAAGTTGTTAAAAGACAACTTGAGGACATTGGCTCTCTTTTTCTACTGCGTGGATTAGGAATGGAACTCAGATCATCAGGGTTGGTCAGTGCCTTTACTTGTTGATTCATTTCACTTGCCCATGACTAACTAACATTAGTTAGTTAGTTAAATGACTAACTAACATTAGTAAGGACTCCTAAGTACTAATTTAAAGCAGAAATTATTGTTAATTTGTGTGTCTTGTTCCATACTGGAGTTTTTTGGCTATGTTTCTATCATTGTTTGAGTATTTTACTTTTTGCCACAGGCTGTCACAAAATAACAGTATTTTCCCTGCCTGAGTCTGGGAGCCAGCCATCTGTTCAAAAAGTCTCAGTTTTTAAAGAGGAATAGATCTAGATCAGAACACAAGATCTAGGGACTATGCATGGTCATTACTATTGGGGTGTGACTATAGTATCAGGGCTAAGGCATATCAGATATTTATATGTCCACATGAATTTACAACTACTGAAACTGAAAATTCAGTTCATACTAAATTTTCTAATTCTGACCAAATACCACAGAATATATATTTAGCTTTTTTCCTCTTTGTATTTAACTCATAAACATCATGGATAATAGCAGCTTAACATATATATTCATTTTATTTATGTTTTTGAACACAACCAAGCATCTGTTCTCATCAGTATCTGCTACTTTCCTGAATGTGCTTACTGCTGGTAAGTTCTTAAATGTGTGATTTGTTTTGCCATTTTATATTTATGGTCCTTAGTACTAAGAACTTCTTGTAACATTTTCTTTATGATAATTTTCCACACATTTCTCAATGTTACTTTTAATTTTCAAGTTTATTTACCCTGAGAAGATTACTCTTTCCTTTAGTTTCAATCAGTTCACAACTGTCATCCTAGCTCCACCTTTTAACCATTCCGGGTCTCTTTTCTCACATTTTCTCTAGGGAGAACTTTGTCCCTTTTTGGTTGTGTTCACCTTTCTCCTAGAAATCCTCCCAACTCTTAGCATTGCTGCTGCTGGGAAAGAACAGGCTAGATGTCACACAGTCAATGTTCGCCAGGATTCCTGAAACTGTTGGACTAAATCGTATTTTATTTCATATAACATATTAAAGCTATTTGAAGCATCTAAAATAGAACGTGCATGCTTACTGAGGAGATAATGTTTAATGCCACCTCATCCCCAACCCCCATTTACACTTCTGGATCCACAAGTTTGGTATTCAGAAAATTTTGGAAAATACTAAGCGTATGTAAGACAAATCCATATAAATAAACCACTCTGGGATGGGAAGCATACACTAAATACTACATGAATAACCAAACAGAAAAGAATTCTCTTTTATTCAAAACTTTTTTTTTAAATTAAGACTAGAATAGTACCTCTCAGTACTTAGTACTATCTTCAGAATAGTACCTCAACCAAGACTGCCCCTCTCAAAAAAAAAAAAAACAGAAACAAAAACAATCAATCTGAAAGATGATATTAACAGATGCTTAGAAATCACAAAAAAAGAAATAAAACCTCAAATAAGATTAAGAATAAGCAACAAAGAAGGAGGGAAAGGGAAATTCTTGGGAACACCCAGTGACGACAGAAAAAGGCTGAGCCAGTGTACCAGATCCATATGGGGTGTGTGCCAGGCTTAAAAAGTCAACTGTATGGGCTGCGTTTCATCATAGCAATGCTTCCTGTTAGCAGAAAGTTCTGATGAATGTATCAAATTGAAATTCCAAACATGTATCCTTTCTAAAGGATTTTTAAATAAAAGAATTAAATTATGATTACACTACTTCCTTCCCCCCACCCCTCCCATGTTCTCCCCTCTTACTTTCTGTAACTGATGGCTTCTTGCTATTGTTATTGTCACAAACATAATACATATAGTAATATAGCCTGTTAATTATGTATATGTTACATAGACACATTTGTTTTCCTTTGAAAACATTGCCATTCTAATGCTTTTGCTTTTCTCTATTCTTGTTCTACCTTCCTACTGTGCACATGGAGCTGTACTGTATCTGGGTGTGCAGCTTACATTCACCTCTAACTCTGCGGTTCTCTGTCAAGGTGAACCGGTAAGGCAGCTGAGGTTGACCTTCATGTCCTATGTCACCTGTTGCCAAGCTTTGCTGCTACATGTTGCTCTTTATTAACTACCTTCACACGAATAATATGGATACTCAGGCCAGATACTTTTAAATTACTTATTACTCTGAGTAGAATTCTGCTGGATCAAGAAAATTAGAGTAAATAAAATAGCTGGTAAATGTTTCTTTTCTGTGGTAACCTGCAGACCACTTCATTTGATGCCTAAGTTATAACTACTTCATTTTGCTCCTTCAGCCACCTCACTTTTTCCTTTCTCATCGTGTTGTTTATGAACATCAGCGAGCATGTTTCTATGTATTCTTCTGGGTTTTCAAACACATCAGTCCTCCTGAGACCTTACCACCACTAACCTGGTAATGTTGATGCCTACTACAGTCTTACACATGCTCACTATGGAATTACCTCCCATTTTCCATGATCACTTTCTTCCCCTAGGAATCTAGTCAAATTATGTCATGATGCTTTTTTGTTGAGAAAGACAGTATATCACAAACTCTAATCTTCTATCTTAAATAACAATAAAGGCTACTAGAAAGCATAAATTTGGTATTAATAAGTATAATCTAATTTAAAAGAAAAGATTCTGAGTAATTTCATTTTCTTTGGCAGCATTACTATTTTTACTTATGGTTTTTATTACTCTTTCGAATCAATGAGTTAGTAACAGGGATGGTGAGATGTGGTAAATTGGAAGTTAGATTAAAGAGAGACTTGAAAATGAATTCAAGTAATGGTACAATCTCAACAATTGGCATATGAAGTGTTCTAATCCTTATGAAAAACACTTCTGATCTGGAAAATGAATTGGTTTAGACTGTACAAATACTAGATCAACAAATTAAAACAATACATAAAATGAGTTAAAATTAGAAATGAGGCCGGGCCGGGTGGTACGCCTTTAATCCCAGCACTTGGGAGGCAGAGGCAGGCGGATTTCTGAGTTCAAGAGTTCGAGGCTAGCCTGGTCTACAGAGTGAGTTCCAGGACAGCCAGGGCTACATAGAGAAACCCTGTCTTGAAAAAGTCAAAAAAAAAAAAAAAAAAAAAAAAAAAGAGACATTATGAAGAGCTGGGAATGTAGCTCAGTTGGCAGAGTGCTTGCCTAGTGTGAATAAAAAAATTGTAGCTTGATCCCCAGCACAGTTTAAACAGGCATGGTGCCATTCAACTATAACTCCAGCATCTGGGAGGTAGAGGCAGGGGGATCAGTTCAAGACTATCCTCGGAGCACACTGAGTTCAAGGCCAACCAAGGCTACATGAAAGCTTATTGCAAAGAAAAAAAAAGTTAAAAAAAAATCATTATCAAAAGGAAGAATTTAAGATCATTTTTAAAAATAACTAAAATGTGCAATACAAAATGTATTACCTTCAGGTCGATACTGTGCAACGATAGTGACAGCTTGGCCTGCATTTTTTAATGCAGCTGCTGCTTGTTCATGACTTGCAGCTCTGAGGTCAACACTGTTTACCTGTAAGTAAAATCAAATACTAATTTAAGAAAATATGAACTTTGACTAGACATTACAGTGGCCCATTATAGGAGTAGGCACAGGTTAGTTACAGTACCTTTATTGTTTAAATATATCATACAGTAAAACAATACATGATTATTTCAAATAATCTGATTCACCAAAAACACTTTGTTTAATGGTTAGAGAAGAAACTCAAGCATTTTCTCAAATGGATGTCAGAAGGCTGGCTACCTAGCTAATAAGTGTTATTATTTTGCATAATTCATTTTGCTAGTAACTAAAGCAATGAGAAGGAAACTGATTTCTACTAATTTTTTTTTAACTCTCCAGTTCAACTCAGTTTCATTTCTTTTTTTCCTTTCAGAATAAGACTTCCATTCTTTTGCTGTAACAAGAGAATAATTGCTTAAGCATAGTTCAGATTTCAGGGACCAATTTAAACAACAATAAATGTAAATACTCTCAGTAATAATTTTTAAGAAACTTGCACTGGGTGCAATTTGACTCCTGAAGAATATCCCATTTTATTTTTACCTCTGTAACGCTCTAATACACTTAGTTTATGTCACAAGGCATTACACCTTAAGAGATTACTCCCTTTCCTTTAAGACAACTGTAAGACACTGTTCATAGATGTATTGTTATTGAATGCAATAAAACCTTAATATTAAAAACTAAGAACCAATAACAATGAAGAGACCACAACTGTGCTTAGCACTTCCACTAAATATTATTGATAGGAGGGCTGGAGAGACGGCTCAGCAGTTTAGAAGAACACTTGTTACTCTTCTAGAAGACCCAAGTTTGGTTCTCAGAAGCCACATCAGGAGGCTCACAATTCTAGTTCTAGGTTGAGGCTGATGCTTATGGCTATCACAGGCACTTGCACTCTGCACATACCCACATGGAGATAGATACACGCCTACCCATACCTAAAAAATAAAAACAAACCTTTAAAAACTACGTTTTAGCCATATAAAGCTAAATGCAACTGAGTATGGCTACTGGAGAGTAACTCCAGCTGGAGGGACACCCCTTGCCACTTATAACAATACAATGTGCACTTCAAATTCCAACTGCCAGAATAAACTTGTTGGGGTAAATCTCTAACCCAAATAGGACTGATCAAAGAAAACACAACTCAATAATTATGAATACAAACTGCACACCTAAACTGGGCAGATTTACCACTACCTTATTTCTTTTCTTTTCTTTTTTTTGTTTTTCCGAGACAGGGTTTCTCTGTGTAGCCCTGGCTGTCCTGGAACTCACTCTGTAGACCAGGCTGGCCTCGAACTCAGAAATCCGCCTGCCTCTGCCTCCCAAGTGCTGGGATTAAAGGCGTGCGCCACCACCCGGCCAACCATAACCCTATTTCATTCCCCATCTATGAGATCCCTTACAACTTGTGGTTTTCCAGGCCACATCCTTCTCCTCCATTGTCCTTCTATCTCTCTCACCTCCAGTTGTCCCTCATCACTTCCTCTCCAGTTCTCTCCTACCCCTTCCTCTCTTTCTCTCCTTCCAGCTCCTCTTCTACTGACTAATCACTGAGGTCCACTGCGAATACAGTGTAGCAGAATAAGTATACTGCTACATAAACTAGGGGAAAGTCTAGAGAAGATAAACTGTTATAGATTGTAGAAGAAAAATTAAAACATTTTTTTAGGGAAGGGAACAGGTCTTACTCTGTAGTACGGGCTGCCCCAGTAACTCACTATGTAGCTCAGGTTGGAGTCAAGACTCATGACCATTCCTCAGTTTCAGTTTCCTTAGTGCTCAGATTATAGGTGTGAGCCACCATGTAGTCTGGCTCAGTGGGTAAAAGTGCTTGCTAGCAAACTCAGTAACCTCAGCTTGGGTTCTCAGAGCTCACATAAAAGCTAGGTACAGTGGCACTCATGTTTGTGGTCCCCATAAGCCAAATGGAAATGGGAAATGGAGAAAGGAGAATCTCTAGCTCATAGGTCAGTGGGTTTAAAGAACAGCAGAGATGCGGAAGGTGAGGATCGACCTGAAGACTTGTGCTCTGACCACATGCCATGCTACCTCCACATGCAAACGCACGCACAAAAGCAGTAATGACTACAGGCAGAAAATATATTCCAGTTACTGTCTAGCTCTCTGCCCTTTGAGTATACTCAATAAATCATTTTTTTTAAAAGTTTTAATTTTTGCTTAGAGAAGATTGGAGCTCTATGTGGACTCAAAAATATACAATCTGCTGGACAAGAGTAAGAATTAATGTTCCAAAATATTAGTTCAGTGAAAGTATGATGTCTTATCAAGGATTTGTTGTTTGTTTTTTTGAGACAGGGTCTTACTAGGTAGTCTTGGCTAGCCCAGAGTTCATTATGTAGATCAAATTGGCTGGAACTCAGAGATCCATCTGCTTCTCTGCCTCTAGACTGCTAGAATTAAAGGTGTGTGCCACCAAACCTAGCTCTACTTTTTTTTCTTGTTTTTTTTTTTTTTTAAATCTATGTACTGAAAGACATATATATGTAAATAGCCTTAGCTATACTAAAAAAATACATTTTAAACACTGGAAAATATTTCAAATACCATAAAACATATACTTTAGAACTGCATAGCTAGGTGTTCTTTTGACCACCGATGAGATCATAGAACTATCACAACTACCTAATCCCAAAATATTTCCTTCACTCCAGGAAGAAACTCAAATCAGAAACTTAAGTAGGGCTATCCCAAAAGCAGTTGCCTGACTGTGGGATATTTTCTTCTAATTGGGCTGCCTTGTCTGGCCTCAGTGGGAGAGGATATGCTTAGCCTTGCAGAGACTCGATATACCAGATGGTGGGTATGGGGGGTGGAGGGGTATCTGCTCAGAGGAGAAAGAGAGGAGGGATGGGATCAAGAACTGGGAGAGGGTGGCTGGGAGAGGGGCAGGGAGCAGGATGTAAAGTGAGTAAGTGAAAACAAACAACAACAACAAAAAACAAAAAATTCAAATCTAGTCAGTGGTCTCTCCTATCTCCAAAAAACCCCCCAATAAGCCACTTTAAACTACTTTTCGGTATAGATTTCTTATCCTGTACAATTGAAGTAAGTGGGCTTCTATACTCTCTGGATCTTTCTTCTTGGTGTTTCTTACTTAAGGCTCATGCCTATAGCATATTTCAGCACGTTTCTTAATATGGTTGATGAATGCATCATTGCATGCATATACTTTATTTCCCCACACATATGTTCATGTGGTCTGCATGAGCCATCAGAGGCTACACAGGGGCATTGTAGCCTCTAGAATAGGTGGGTGCTGGGATCTCAGGCCCTCTGGGAGAATAGCAAGTGGTCTCAATTCTTTGAATTTACAATTCATGCATGTGTTTTAAAGCAAGATAGGAGCCCCACATGCTCAATTCTCTACTTCACATGATACAGCTCATATGTGCCTCTCATCTACCCTGTCTTTCCTTTAGAATCTCCAAATTACTACCTTCTTAAATTTTATTATGTTTTTATTCATATGGATGTATATATAGACATGTATTTTCCTAAACATTTTGTTTAGTTTCCAATTTTTGATAAGAAAAAAACAATCTCATAAACACCATAAATGATGTCTGCTGTGTTTTGCTCAACATGATGCTTTTAGAGTCACATGTTATTTTGTATTTCAGTTATTTTGTTTCATTTTCTTGCAGCATAGTATTAAATGACATAAATATCTCACCATTCACTCAGTTATTTTCCTATTAACAGAAAAAGATAATTTCCAGCTTTGGATTACTATGAATAAGCTGGTACAAACATTTCTGTGGATATGTTATCATGTCTCTTGGGGAAAATTTATGTGGTAAGTTACCTGAACGTTTAAATGAATGGCTTCACTAAAGTTCTTATCACTTTATGAGTTCCAGTTTCTCCATTGCTCTTCCCCATTACGTATTACCTTTAATAATATATATTAATATCCTTTAGCCATCCAACTCAGTGGGATATGTATTTGAGGTATCTCTCAAATTCCTTTGTTTACTGGTTCTATAGTTTTGTGCTGTCAACTCTTAAATATATTTTCATATGTATCCTCTTTAGTAAAATATTTGTTTAAATCTTTTGTGAGTTAAAAAAAAAGGATTAGTGTCCTAGTTTGTGTCATTGTTGCTGTTATGAAACACCATGACCAATAGCATGTTGGAAAGGGAAGGGTTTATTTGGCTTACACTTCCATATCACAGACCATCACTGAAGAAAGTTAGGAGAGGAAATCAAACAGCAGGGACCTGGAGACAGGAGCTGATAAAGAGGCCACAGAAGTTGGCTGCTTATTAGCTTGCTTCCCATGGCTTGCTCAGCCTGCTTTCTCTTAGAACCCAGGACCACAGCCCCGAGATGGTTCTTCCAGAATGGCTGGGCACTTCCCATCAATCATTAATTAAGAAAAGCCTTCTAGCTAGCCAGATCTGACAGAGACATTTTCTCAGTTAGAGGTTCCCTCCTTTCAGATGACTATAGCTTATGTTCAGTTGACATAAAACTAGCCACCACAGTTACTCAAGTTCTTTATTGTGCATGTGTAGACTTTTATATATTTTTGGGTACAAGTCTGTGGGGCAGTTAGACTCATGGACCCTAATAAAGATACAGAATCTTCTACAGAGATACTAACAAAGAACTCCCAAGACCAATAAAGGAGATTCGGGATGGCAGATCAGGCAGGAGCACTTGCCAAACAAGCCTGTCAATGTGAATGTGACCTCCTGAGCACACAGTGGAAAGAAGACTGTCTGTTGGCCACCACCCACAGCATCACACTCACCACCATTCACCCAATAATTTAACAAAGCGCTGGAAGTGAAAAAAAAATTGACAAGTTCTATATTCAATGAAATTATGATAGATGGAGGTTTTCTGTAAAGATAGTTTAAAAATCAGTACTGAAGTTAAAAAAAAATTAAAGACTACTGTAGGGTAAATAAAAACTGAAATCTCCAAGAATTACTAATTGTATTCCAGCTGGAGATACAGCTCAGTGGTAAAGCACTTACCTTATAGATGTTAGGCCTTAGCTTCAACCTGAGCATCACAAATAATAGTAACCATTATATAACAATTAACACATGCAGAACACGTCAGCTTGGTTAAAAAAACAAAACCAAAACCAAAAAACACCCCCAAAATAACAAGACTGAGCTCTACAATGCTCATCAGAAATATACTTTCAAGTTATTTTAAAAATTCATTTTTAATCATTAACAGGACATAATAAACATAATAAAAACATTCAAGTATCAACTACCGATATAATGCGATCTCCTTTTCTGAGCTCTCCACTTAGATCAGCAGGTCCTCCAGCAAGGATGAATGAGATAAAAATCCCTTCTCCATCTTCACCTCCCACAATGTTAAAACCAAGTCCCGTTGAGCCACGATGAAGAACAACTTTTCTAGGTTCCCTAAAAATTAAGAAATAAATATCTTAGAAATTTTATGTAAAACCTGAACTTCTGTAGGAAAGTATCCTATGAGGAGAGGAGTCCTACTGTGGACCTCTGGCTGACCTTCAACTATCTGGCCTCAAATTCACAGCAATACTACCCAGTCTCCTAAGTACTGAGACTTTAAAAGCCTGTATACCAAGTTGATATTCTTATATTACCAAACAATACAAATAAGCTAAATGGAAAACAAAACAAAACCTAAATGTTATATAAAGGCCTTGTAAAATGACAAGGGAAAGAGAAATAAAAGAAAAAAAATCTAATTTTATATAAAAGCCAAACAATTAATGGTAAAAAAAATCAAGCAAGCAAAACTACTACCACTACCACCACAACCAATATGAAAGTAAGAAATAATACATATGGGTCTTGGGGGAGTAGGGAGGAAGTGAATGTTTTCAAAACACATTCTATGAATATTTAAAGAATAAAAACTGTATTAAAAGTAATATAAAATTAGTACATTTATTTAAAGGTTCTGTCAGAAAATTTGACGTGTGTGCACTCCTGCCTGAGAAGTCAGCACAGCCATTATTTCTTAGACTCTTTCTGATTGCTTGCAGGAAGTAAGGGCATTCCTTTAGTGCAAAGACACTATTTACCTAGTCAGCACAAACCACTGCCTTCTGCTAAGGAGAGGACTTGACCCCTTTCTGGCCTCTGACAAATGAAAATGTTTTGTCATTTCCCACAGAAAAAGAACATATTCCTACCATCTTTTCTCATATCACCCATCTTCATCAAATAAACAAACCCTTAATAAAATCTCCTTACTAGTTTAGATAAATTTTTAATTATGAAGGTGAAATTAGAGACTTCGTAGGCCTTATGGGTTGCCATGCTACCATGGAAAATGCCCACCTATGAACTTTTTAGATAAGAGAATTATCCTTTAACACCTGGGTGTGACTGTATGCACCTGAAGCCCTAGCCCCGTGAAAGGCCAAAGCACGAGAATTACTTAGAATCCTGACATGATATCACACAGGCATCACAGACAAACTGCATTTCCAAACGAGAGCAGCAACAACAAAAGAATTTGCTTTTCATTGTATTTTTCATGTGCATTGGCCTCCATGTATATGTGTGTTAGGATGTCAGATCCTAGAACTGGAGTTACAGACAGTTGTGAGGTGCAGTTGGGTGCTGGGAACTGAACGCAGATCCTTTGGAAGAGCAGCCAGTGCTCTTAACCACTGAGCCATCATCTCTCCACCCCATACCAAACATTTTTTTTTCCCCCTAAGTATTTTGAGACACAGTGTCACAGTGAAGTTCTTGCCTGGCCTCAAGCTCACAGAGATCTGCCTCCTCCAACCTTCCAAGCGCTTGGTTAAGGCCTGCACTATTACCTTGCTGGTTTATTACTTCGCATTTACTTTTTCCCCACACATCAAAACTCTCTGGCTTGTATCTCTCCATTGATAATTTTCACAGCTCTTGGCATGTAAGAGTTATGTGAAAATCACTCTCATCTCTCTTCTGGTAAGATGATGGAAGTGCAAGAAGCAGATCCTTTTAAATTTGATGAAATGGAGAATATCACTTGACAAACATTACTTTTGAATAGAATAGAGTACATTTGTCAAGCATTTAAAAGTTTTAATATGAATTTTTCTAAAACATAAAAGGAAACAATTGGCTATAATCATCTTGAGAATTAAATATGAAGAATTTTAATAATTGTGTGACATTAAATCAATTTTGCTAACTCATTTATGGTGTTTATGAGATTGTTTTTTTCTTATCAAAAATTGGAAACTAAACAAAATGTTTAGGAAAATACATGTCTATATATACATCTATATGAATAAAAACATAATAAAATTTAGGAAGGTAGTAATTTGGAGATTCTAAAGGAAAGACAGGGTAGATGAGAGGCACATATGAGCTGTATCATGTGAAGTAGAGAATTCAGCATGTGGGGCTCCTATCTTGCTTTAAAACACATGCATGAATTGTAAATTCAAAGAATAATTGTTTTTAAGTTTGATAAGAACAATGTAAATTAAACCAAGAGATACTTCTAGAACTCTTGTAGGTGACATGTAGTGATTGTCTTTTTTTTTTCCCCCAAGACAGGGTTTCTCTGTGCAGCACCAGCTGTTCTAGAACTCTCTCTGAAGACCAGGCTGGCCTCGAATTTACAAAGATCCTCCTGTCTCTGCTTCCTGAGTACTGGGATTAAAGGTGTACCCCACCACTGACTGTAAAGTACATTTGATGGTTCTGCACAAAGCTAACTCACAGAGACATTACAGATGGTCTTGGAACTTGACCCAGGTTATTTCCTAAGAAACTTGCTCGCAGCATGAATTAAATTACATGAATGTCAGTATTTATCAAAGAATCATTTGTAGTGATAAATAAAATGTGGTTTGAAAGTGTGTGAATGGCGTGCATGCACACCCAGACACACTCAGATCTACACACAGGACTACGACTCAAAGATGCATGAGGAGTTTATATATGCTAACCTCTGAGGGACCCTTGACAACACTGCTGAGAAATGTCAGTCCCAGAAGACACAGTGCATGGTTCTGCTTACAGGACTTATCTAGATGAAGCAAGTTTGTGAGACTGAAAGTAGGCTCAAGTTATCAGGAGCTGGGAGTAGAGTAAACTCTGTGATGATGAAAAGGTTTTGGAAATAGCTAGTAGTAACAGCAGCACATATTGAATATAATGTACTTGAAATATACACTGTGGACATGACTAACATTTTAATTTTATGATATATACATATTTTATCACATTAAAAATTAATGACATATACTACAAATTATTAAGCTGCACATCTGACTCATTACTGTTGTGTATGTGGGTAAGTCATGTGTGCAGGTCTAAGGAAAGTCTCTGGTCATTCCTCGAGCATTATCTACCTTCTAAGACAGGATTTCTCACTGGCTTGCAACTCGCTCAGCAGGTGAAGCTGGTGGGCTTAACAGACTTAGGAATTCACCTGTTTCTGATTCCCCAGTGACGGGACTGTGAGTGTGCTACCAACATGGCTTTTAAAATGTGGGCTTGGGTGTGGGTGTGTGTGTCAAACTTAAGTCTTCCAACTGAGCCATTTGCCAGCTCTATCCATAAACTTAATACGTATAAAATTCAAGGTATGTAAATATTTGAATAAAACTAATCTTTAAAAAAATTTTATTTATTGTTGTGGGTTTTTTGTTTGTTTGTATTTGGGACAAGGTCTCACTCTGTAGACCAGACTGGCTCCAATCTCACAGAGATCCACCTGCCTCTACCTCCCAAGTGCTGGGATTGAAGGCATGCATCATTTATGCCTAGTTCTGAATTTTAGAACTGTTAAACGTATGCTGTGGTATTTCTGAAGGGGAGCTGAGACTGTGTGACAACCTCTCAAGAGGCTTTGGCTCAAATTGTGGAGGACTTTCAATGTTTGTGCAAAGATTTTTGTAGTTTATAATCTGGACACAGGCCATACTTATCAAATGGGATTATAGAACACACAGCAGCTTAAGATCTACTTAGTAAGCAAGCATCTGGTTTTCACAGTAGTACGGAAATAGGCAGGTCTGCTGTGTTAAATGTCCAACAAATATTCTAGATATGAAATGTGCAGAGAGCCTGGATGGGGACAGGAATGAAGTACAATTATGACTTACCCTTTAATTTGTAAAATATGTAAAGATATTAAAGCTACACAGATCATTTTCCCTCTTCTAGAAATAGGCACTATTAGCACACAACAAAAATAGAGATCAGTTGAGGAGGAAAGCTTACAAACAACAAGCACCGAGTATTCATTATTTCATTACTAGCACAACTAATGAGCATTGATTTTGTTTCCAACACTGTTAACTAAGTAACAAGATAAAGTAACAAGATAAACTCTTCTGTACTTAGAGACATCATTGCTTCTTTTCTTTTTAAAGACACTTTCATTTTATGTATGAGTGCTTGCCCTAATGAAAGTAAGTATACAACATGTGTGCTTGGGGCTTACAGAAGTCAGAAGAGTACATCGGATCCTCTAGAACTAGAGTTAAATGTGGTTAAATGTGGTTGTGAACCACCATATGGGCACTGAAACTGAGCCTAGATTGTCTGCAAAAGCAGTAAATCCTTTTAAGCATTGAGCCTTCTCTCCAGCTCTGAGCTCAGTTTCTTAATCTACAGATCACAATCCTATACTGAAGCCACAATGACTTAGGAGTGAGGAAAATTTTGGCAAAGGTAAAAGTAAAAGACTTTTGAATGTACAACAACTAAAAATTAATTCAACATCAAATGTGTAACAAATCTCTGTGTTTCTGGTACCTGTCACCCACAATGCATCATGGGATAACACTGCAGTCTTGCTTCTGAATGTATCACATGTGCATTCTGCATACATGCCAGGTTACTAACAAATATTGCTTGAAAAATGTCAAAGATTTGAGACTGTTGTGCATTTGAAACCCAATGCTCTTAGAGTTCTGCTCTTACAGAATCACAATGCTAAGACTTTCAGTATTTGCAATCATTCTTTTTTAGTGTATAAATATCAAAGTCGTGTTATCTTTGGATTGTATAGTATTAGACTACTTGATTTAAAAACCTGGTATTTGAGTTGACAACTTGAGTTTCATAAAAACAATCAAGCTATGAAATGAATTCTAGCTTGAGCTCAGGACAGAATATCCAACATTCCTGAAGTGTTCCTAACCATCCTTCCATCATGTGCTGAATTTTTATGGAACACCATGTTCTCAGCAAACAAAATGTTGACCAATGCTTGAAAAATGTTGAGAATACTCTATGGCTTGCAATATCAAACATTTAAACAAGATTTAACTTTTTATTTTTGATTAAGTTTTAAAAATTACATTTTACTCATTTATTATGGTCTGTGTTGGGGGAAGGTATATACAATTGACAGTTAGAGGACAACATGTAGGAACTGGTTCTCTCTTTCCACCATGCTGGTTCCAGGAATCAAACTCAGGTTGTCAGGCTTGGTGACAGCTTCTAGCCATTGTACTAGCACCAAGACTTAAATTCTTTATATTGTAATAAGCACATACATCTATCTGGTTAGTATGGAATTCTGATCTTTAATTTTTTATAAGACTTATCTTCATTTTATGTGTATGGGTCCTTTGCCTATATGTATGTATGTGCACCGCGTGTGTGGTGTCGAGGAGGAGGAGTCCCTTGGTCTGGAGTTAAATGAACTTGTTAGCCGTAATGTGGGTGCTGGGAATTGAAACCAGTTCTTCCAGAAGAGCAGACCACTGAGCCTTCTTTCCAGCTCTGGTGTTTAATAAATGGTAAAAATTGTGTGTACAGAAAAAAAAATATCTGGGAATCATGTAAAATTTCTGCTGAGGAAGGGGCTGTGAAGACAAAAAGTTTAGGAACTAACTCTGGTGTTTATAGTCCTAATAAGAAAAGTCATAATTAAACATAAAGGTTCAAAGCCAACAATAACGAAAGAAATAAAAATATAACAGGCATTACTGAGAACACATTAACACTAAATGCTACAGTTAATTTAAAATACTTGTAAAAATTACAAAGAACCTATATACAGTGTCTCATTACTATAGTCACTAATGTGAAACAAAGCTAAAATATTTCTACCTTATCAGAATCCTATGGAACTTCTTACACATAAACTCTAGTGTGGTTACTATTGTTAGGTAAAAGCAAGTTTTTGTTGTCAGAGTATCAACAATATATATCAAACAAAAAAAAATCACTTGCTGATTTCTGAATTTCTAAATACAAACTAAAATCTTGCTATAACATTCTATGACATGTTATTGAAAAAAATATACAAAGTTAGCTTAATAGATGGATTAGTATATTTTTTTAGTTTAGCTTTATCTAAGCTAATCTCTTCTCCCCCTTTTTTTTTCTGACAGGGTTTTACCCAGAACTTGCTAATGTACCCTGGCCTTGAACTTGAACTCATGATCTTTCCCCTTCAATCTTGTCAGTGTTGGAACTACAGGTGTATGCTAGCATACCAAACTATTTAAACTAATTTTGAAATGACAACTTACCTTACCTTAAGAGGGTAAAAAGCAGGAGTAGAAATTATTTAATATTAGCCCTTAAAAGCCTGGCTCTCTTTTGTGGCTAATTAAAATTCTTAACTGGTGGCTTTATGTATGAAGATGAATATGAAGTTCCTTTTTTTTTGTTTTTTGTTTTTCGAGGCAGGGTTTCTCTGTATAGCCCTGGAACTCACTCTGTAGACCAGGCTGGCCTCGAACTCAGAAATCCGCCTGCCTCTGCCTCCCAAGTGCTGGGATTAAAGGCGTGCGCCACCACCACCCGGTGAATATGAAGTTCCTTACCTAGTGATCTCATCATCTCCAAGCACTGCCTTAGAAATGGGTGAGTATCTGGCTGGTGATGCTGGCGTCTGGCCCAAGTATGAAGACGGGCTAACATGGTTGTCAATAGACTGAGAAGAAGCTTCAAAATAAATAAAGAAAATATATCAAAAGCGAACAACATCACTTAGTACCGCAATTTGAACTTTAAAGCTAAAGTAAACTCATTTTTGCTGCTTTGCATAACAAAATTTAGTAAATTCTGACATCTAGGATTGATGCATGAGCTCAATTTTCAGGTAAAAACTCGTTTTAACATTCAGATCAATGAAGCTAATTTATTTAACTTGTTCTCTTTTGAGAAAATACAAACACAAAGGAATTTTATATAAGCTGATTTGCAAAATTAAATCCAGGAAAGGGCAAAGATAGTCACAGAAAGGACTAAAATATGATGTATAATAAAAAAGTACTAATAATTATTAATTTGATGTGTATGGCTGTTTAGCCTGCATGTACGTTTGTGCACCATGTGCATGCCTGTTGACCATGGAGGTCAGGAGAAGGTGTCAGGTCCTCCAGACTAGAGGAGCAGGTTTTGAGCTGCCAGTGCTCTTAACCACTGAGTCATCTCTCCAGCCCAGTAAATTTTGCTAAGAAGTCATTTATAGACTTAAAACAAGAAAGAGAGAGAGAGAGAGAGAGAGAGAGGGAGAAAGAGAGAGAGAACACAAACGAATAAACGAACAAACACAGATTCACAATTTTTTATGAATGGAGACCAGAAGTCTAAATAGTTAAGAAAAGTCTTATATCAGTTCATAACTGTCAACCTAATTTGTGCCTATTTTTAATATTTCCATAAAGAGTGAAAATCTGTAAAAAAGAAAAACACTTGAAAAGTAAAAATTATCTGTTGTTTTACTTCTTTAATAGTATCATATGCACATAGATTCTCTTGAAAGACTACAGTTCAGAGGTATACTGCAACACTCCTGACCATATTACAAATACCCAAGAAAGAAACATTTTAGCTATTGTTTACAAAGACACCTCCTTGAATTAGCTGAGTTATTGGCAAAATACATAGAAAGCAATAATTAGCTTCAAAGTCTAACATTTTTATTATCAACCATTAGTTTTTGTTATACTGTATTACTAAGCATTTTCTATAGGTCAAAGCCCATGGGAAATATATATAAAAGTGGAGAGGTCATTAGTTCAAACAACTATAGTGGCTGTGCAGTTGACTTTAAACAAACAAAAAAATATGAAGGGATCTGAATAAAGGATAATGGAAAATGAACTGTAAGGTAGAAGGAGAAAATGCATATTCTACTAAAAAGGAAGCAGCGCCTCTGTAACATACAACAAGGAAGCGTGTATGGTTTTTCCTGGCAAAACAATCGAGGGCTAGTGCAGACCCCAGCAGCCATAATTTTTAACTAGTTCCTAAGCTACTCTTTTACATTTGTATCAAAGCACTAACTAGTAATAGTTCTCACCTTTAAAGTCCAAAGCCTTTCATATGTATCTATATCTATATCATATATATCTAAACCTATTAAGATTTTTTTCTTCTGTATGTTTATATGGAACAAAAATCTAAACTAAGAATAACAACAGAACAAGTGAACATAAAATTCTAAACGACAAAATTATAAAAAAGTAACTTTCCCCTGCTAGATTTAAACTGCTCCATTGTGCAGTGGATCTTTTTTGATCCCTTAACCCACCTGTCAGTCTGACAGAAAGGGCTACAAATTTATGTTCTTATCTATTAACCCACAGTTAGATTATATAAAACATTGCTACCTCTTATACCTGAAATCTTATTTAAAAGGATCCCACAGAGAAATGACTGAACAAAGGCACCCAATTTATTATGAAATATCAAATATCAAAACTAACTGTCTAAGACCTGCAAGGTTTGGACAGAAAGAAGTAGAAGACGGTGATGAGAAAAGACTGAGGCTGGACCCTGAGTGTAGCAGAAAGAATCTAGGCTGAAAGTGAGAAGACAGAAACGCATGGCCATTTCACAGTGTCAGAAACAGTCAGCTATGACAATGAGCATGGTCATTAGCAACAGGCACACTTTCATTCCTATATACTGTATTTTACTTATCTTTATTTTGATTGTCTTATTTAAGTTTGAAGTATTGATTGTGCCTCCCCAATTAATGGACTTCCATAACCATTATTTCTTGTTTCTTTCCATGTTCTTGTCAAAAGACTTTTTCTCTCTCGTACCTGTTACTTACTTGGACAGCTGCTCACTCATACATTGCCTCTTCCAGAAAATCCCTCTCCCCTAAACTTTAACAATCACCTCTTCAATTTGCTTTTCCGTAGAGATAACAAATGACTGAAAATATGTTTATTGTTACTAAGTTTAACTGAATCCTAAACTAAAATCTTCCCAACAACAATAAAAATTCCAAATATGTACAGATAAATTCAATGATAAATTACAGTATCAACGTAGTTTATCATGTTAGGAGAATAAAAAAAAACCAGTAATGTCTGTAAATAAAACATTTGTGCAATTTAAAAAATGTAAAAAATAAACTATAAATCAGAAATAAAAATTAGCTTTATTAACCTGGCAATGTAAATATACAAAAGTCCTGGGCAAAATGTTGTTTTCTTAGAGTCGAATTGCGGCAGTGATATACATCATCTTTTCATTCTAAAATTTAATTATGTGATGATTCCAAGAGTTGAAGATGCAAAGAGCCAGACTAAAAAGTGTTTCAAATCCTTTGCTAACTGGCTACGGCCAGTGATACCACAGCCTAAACTCATCTGATCTCATCAAATTCTTTGTAAAGTGTTTAGAACTATCAACTAAAGACTACGTGTACACACACACCGGCTCTATAACATAGAAATGTCAATCTTAAGAGAAATGGGGTGCATAAATTCAAGAAAAATATATAAACTGAGCATGATGGCATATATATGTAATCAGAACCAAGGCGGCTGAGGCAGGAGGAGTATGAATTTGAGGTCAGCCTGGGCTACACTGCACAATTTTGTCTAAAAAAAATAAATGATGGTGGTGATGGGATAAAGTGAGGGTGAAGAAAAAAATCACAAGCAGAAAGACACATGCAAAAGCATCACAGCAGCTATATTCCTTATAAATCCCAACTGAAAATGAGGCAGCTGTAAAATAGAGAATCTGTTGCACACGTATATAACAGAATCTTACAGAGCACTAAAACAGAACACAAATCTCCAAACTGTTACAACTACACAGACCTCACACACCTTTGAGGTAAGCAAAAGCAGCAAATTACAAGAGTAGACACAGAAATTTAAGAACAAGTAGTAGATCTAAAAAATCAACATATAACAAAGTAACAAATACACACATAAATATGGATCTCTCTAAGAACAAGCAGATTCACTCTATCTCTTTACTCCTGAGCAAGGGAACCTCAGGCTTGCCTGGTACTTTTTCCTGTTCACTTTCTCACTGAGAATTCTTTCCTCACCTCAGTTTACTTTACACCTACTCCTTAATCTCCCAGAAGAGAACTTCCTTATCACTGTACTTTCCAATCTCCAGCTCTGCATTGAAAGAACAAGAATGAAGAAGGTAGTTGTTTGAACACTGTTGGGAAGGAAGGATAAAAGAACTGGAAGTACAAAAGAAGTATCATCAACAAACCACAGAACCTAAGCTGAAAAACCCATTAGGAAAACCAAGCTATAAGGAGGCAAAGAAATGAAGTCAGTATGAAGGTCAAATAAGGCTAAACGGATAGAAAAGCAGTGACTGAACTAATGGTTGTGAATGACTTAGAACTGTTGTAGACGCTGAAGGTATTTATGACAGTTACTGAGAAGCTTTGTGTGCTAGAAGTACTTAGGTACTCAAGCTGAACTAGAGGGCAGGAGAGAAAGCAAGCAGACACCAGGATCCCATGGTTTACACGAGCTAGCTTAGCTTTCATCACCTTTAAGAACAGCAACGTGAATAAAAGTGGCAAGAAAGAGAATACAGTATTCAATGCAGACAGCCCGATCGCTCTATAAGGAGACTGCAATGGTTATACTACAAGGAAGAGGCAGTAAGCTGAATGCAAGGCCTGACAAGGGCTTAGGAAGGCAAAAACTATGAAAAATAAATACAAATGCTTAAAAAGCCCGCAAAATGAATTCTTCATGTGTTTCATTACTAAATAAATATAATTTATAAGTATATCCAAAGTGTATAATTACAATTGACTGAGATGGGGAATAGTTATAAAATATAAAGATGAGCTAGCCAAGGTGAACTACAATTTTCTCATCGTACCTTATTAGCTCATTAACAGACTGGAACCAAGAACAAACAGCTAAATATCCATCAAAGCTAATCAACAGACATCGGCTATTACTTACTACTATTCAGGATTAGCTCTTCTACCTAAAATTGCCAGTCATTATCAAAAAAAGAATTAATTTCATAAAAATATTGTTTTGTTTAATGTTTTCCTAGGTAGTAACCTGGGTATTTGTAATATATATTTGATAAAAATTAGGACATTAACTATCAATTTATAGAAGAGCTGTCCCAAATGTGCACATGGCTGTCCTAAAGAGGCAGTATTCAAAGAAAGACTAATACCTGAATTAATAAGCCAGATTCTTTAAATTGAAATAAATATATACAAACTCTTTATGTAAAGTTTATGAACAAGACCAAGGACATGCAAGAGTTTTAAGCAATGACATGTTCTCATTCTTAAAAAGAAGTATACCATTTCTGTCAATTAGAAAGGCTGAACATCATTAAGAAATAATTCAATTATATTAAAGTCAGTGTTTTTCAAAGCCTAGACAATGAACCAACCAGAGGCATCAGACTTCTTCATACACAGAATAAACTACTTTTTATTTTTGTGCTCAAGCATATAACACGAACATGCATTTTTTTAAAAATACCTTTAGTAATTGTTGTTTACAGAAAACTTGAGAATCAGGGTGAGAACTAGTTTTATTATGACAACTATGACTTAACAGATAAAAAAGTCAGATTAAAGAATTAGTGGTTCTCTTAAAATATTTATGTTTTTAAAAAAGATTTTATTTTTAATTGTGTGTTTATGTGTGCTTGTGCATATGGGTGCAGGTGCCTGAGGAATACAGCCGAGAGCAGTGGATCCCTGCAGCTGGAGTTACAGGTGACTGTGATGGGGTGCTAGGTACAAAAGTTGGAGCCTCTGTAAGAACAGTATGCTTTCCTAATTGCTGAGGCATCTTTTCTGCCAATTCTCTCTTTTCTTTTAAGACAGTCTGTAGCAGAGATTGCAAAAATAAGTTATTTTTGCAATGCTGATTCTCCTGTCTCCATCTCCCCAACACTGGGTTTCTATGTGTATAGTATTTTTATAATGTTTAATTTTTTTTATTACACTGTACACTGGTAACATTATAAAGAGCATATTTGTGAAAATAAGACACATGTAAGCAACCTTAAGCTAACACACTTACAATTAGTGATGTCGGGTGGTGCATAGCCATCATTTATATACATACTTGTTGGTTTTGCCACTTTCAAATAAACAAAATCAGATGTATTCTTTAAGGCAGTCACTGCTTCTTCATGAGTAACTTCTTCTAAACAGACACTGTTCACCTACAAGGAAATAAGAGATAATATTTGAAGACATTTTCACATGCTTCCTGGTTTTTAGAAGAAAACAATTACCCAAATGATGTGGGATATGAGAGAGTGATTCATGGAAAACTAAGATATGTGGAAAGTAAGATACGTATCTTTACTTCTATGATACATGGAAGTTGTTTTCACATATGTTCATGAAATAGACAATTTTGATTCTACCTTCTTTGCCCAGCCTCAACTTTCTCTCACTAATTAAGACTAAATTAAGACATTTAGGGATGTGCTACTGCAGAATTTATACCATGACTATTGGTTTGTCGTTAAATGTTGTTTTCTTACTTAGTATTAGATCTGTAGCATAAGAGCTGACAAATTATTGTGATTAGATATACAAGGAAGGAAGATGATCTCAGAGTTTTAGATTTTAGCAAAAATTATCTGACATTTATCAGTCTTCTTTTACAGTTTAAACAATAAATTTGTGAGTATCTACCAACATAACAGGAGGCCCAAGACCTAGTTCTAAATCACCTTCATGACTTGAAGCTAGAGAGTGTGACAACAAAGGAGAGAGAGCTAGTGACAGTGAGACGAAGAACACCAAGTTAGAGAGGAAAGTGGGGAATGATGGAGGTCTGTCAAGCGCCAGGTAAAAGTCAATTAAAATGAGGCTTCAAGTTATCTAATTCAACATTGTAAGAACAAAGGCTTTATTAACTTTGAGACAAATGAAGTCTTGTTGCTTTTGAAAAATCAACATAGGTTGTTGGTTTCCTGCTAACAATACTGGTTCTGGACAAACAATAAAGCATTGTACACCTAAAATTAAAAAATAAAATTGAGGGCTGGAGAGATGGGTAAGTGGGTAAAAGACTAGTTACACAACCCTGACAACTTGAGTTAGATCCCTCAACTCAAAAGCAAGAAACCACTCTGATGTGGTAACATACATCTGCAATCCCAGCGTTCCTAAAGATGGCAGGCACAAACAGGAGACCCAGGGGGAAACTTGCCAGCCAGCTAGCCTGGAGTGTGGAGCACAGTAGCAGAAACTTGGAGAGACTCTGCCTCAGTGGAAGACAGACCCTGGAAGCTGTCCTCAGCCCTCCATACAGTAGTGCTACACAGGTACCTGTACTTGCACACACATACATAGAAAATAAAGAACACATACGAAAGTGAGAAATCTAATGGAAGTCTGTTTATGTTGGCAAGTGAGTATTTGTGGTGAAACCATCTCTTGCAGCTTAGGGAAAGACTGGCAATTATACTGTAAGATAGGAGGCGAGAGCCAAGCTGATAATGTTGGGAAAAAAAAGTTTTACAAGTGTCTAGAAAAACAATAGGGTGTTGGTCTTTGTTACTTAGTAATGTTACTAACAGAATACCCAATGAGCCAATAAAACCAATGCTTAAGTAATCAATGAAACCTTTGTGTAACAGAGCACACAGCAATTCTTAGTACCAAAACTATTTATAATATGCTCCCCAAGAGGAAATGACATAATTACAACTTTACGTCTTTACAAACGTCTCTGAGCCCTCCTGCCACTAGGCCTTGATGGCCAGCACAGTGCCTTGGCTATTACTGCTGTCACTCTGTCTCTTACCATTACCAGTTCGCTTAGCCTATTTTGTTTAGGACTGGGCATGGATGATGGAGCCCATATTTGTGAAAGTGTTAACATATCTGAAATGTTGTATTGGCTAGTTTTATGTCAAGCTGACATAAGGTAGAGTCAACAGAGAGCAGAGGGCCTCAACTGAGAAAATGCCTCCCTAAGATCCAGCTGTAGGGCATCTTCTTAATTAGTAATCAATGGAGGAGGGCCCAGCCCACTGTGGGTGGTGACATCCCTGTACTGGTAGTCCTGGGTTCTATAAGAAAGCAGGCTGAGCAAGCCATGGGAAGCAAGCCAGGAAGCAACACCTCTCTGTGGCTTCCTGGTTCTTGTCCTGCTTGAGTTCCTTTGTGATAAACAGCAATGTAGCATCATAAGCTGAATTAACCCTTTGGTCATGGTACTTCACTGTAGCAACAGAAGCCTGAAGAGACATGACTAGCCTTCTCTTCCCTTTCTAGGCTTCAGAGGACCTTATCTTCACCAGCACCTTAACTTTTTCTCACATTTCATTCTCCTAGTGAGCATGAGGACTAAGTAAGGTATTTGTTGATCAAAACTGGATAAACAGTGATACAGTCACAAAGTTAAATCCTTTATGAATGGATTTCTGCTCTAGGACTATGGATCCATCACAGTATCACCGTATCAAGTGAAAAAAGTATGAAGAAACTACACAGTCCAGCAGCCTCAGAAAGAGTGTCCAAATAATATTAGACTTACGTATGTGATTAAACCTTTTTATTTTTATTTTATATATTTTGTGTGCATGTGTGTGTACACGTGCATGCCTGATGCTCATGAAGGTGGGAAGATGGCATCAAATTCCAAACCTGGGTCCTGTAAGAATGAGCAATAAGAACTCCCAACCACTGAGCCATCTCTCCAGACCCTGTTTAAAGAATTTATGAGAAGAAAAGAGAAAAAAATACACAAAATTTTTGGTCTTCTTGTTTTGGGAATGAGTAATGACTTCACTGGTTATAAATAGCTCAGTTAAAACAAAAGAGGGTCACACATGACCACACACTGCACTGTAAACTTAGACTGTGACTTAACAAGTTTGTGCATTTCAAGATTTCAACTCTTTAGGAAGGAGAGATGGACAGAGTTAGGAGAGAGGAGACAGGAAGATGGAGAGGAAGAATCAAGATGAGCATAGAGCTGCCAGAGGAAAAGGCAGTAACACCAAGAATCACTGCAGTTTGACAAGGGTCGTCCAGAGTTCACTCAGACTTCAATGGTTTCAGAATGGAAAAACAGACATCAGAATGACTTTCAGAACACTAATTATACTCACTGCTAGAAGCTTATCTCCAATCTGAAGCTTGCCATCCTTGTGTGCTGCACCTCCTTCAATTATTTTGGTTACATAGATGCTGTTATCACCAGGAATGTGCTGATTTCCAACACCTCCAGCAATGCTGAACCCAAGACCTGGTTGAAATACACTTGTTTAATTCTCATCAATAAGGTGAATTAAAGCCCAGAGGGAAAGAATATTAGAAGTGATCATTCCATCACACAGAAAATTATTTATTTAGTTTTCTGCTTTTAAAATCTTAAGTTTAGAGACTGGAGAGGGGTGAGTGGTGAGGAGCACTGGAGGAGATGTTGGTTCCCAACACCCACACAATGGCCATAACCATCGGTAACTCCAGTTCCAGGGGATCTAACGCCTTCGCCTGGTACTCAAGTGGTACAGACAACATAAAATAAATCTAAATTATTTTTAAAACCTTATATTTTTATATAAATTCAGGCATTTTAATAGTTACAAATACTCTTTTTTCTCTGGATTTCTTCTTAAAGTCTTTCTGTAAATGGATTTGAAAAATCAACAGAAACATAAAATTATGCTTTAACTTCTACTTCCATCATAATTATGCTTTTTACTAATACTTTAATATTTTCATAAGACTGAAAAAAAATCAAAATTTTGTTTATACTAGGTAGAACATCAGGCTTTAAAATGTGAATATTTTCCTCAATAGTCTTGAAGTTAAAAATTAAAATAAAATAACAATTTCCGCAGTTCTGAAGTCTCATTTCATTTCCAAATTCTCCCCATTCCCTTGCTGGACTCCTCCTTCCTCCAGGAGAACAAGGACTAACTAGAATTACTATTCTACTTATCTCAGCAGTGTGTTCAAATTCAGAAATCACCTTCCAGTCCACACAGAGGTAAGTGCCATGTCACACACTAATACTGTCTTCTTTTAAATCTGACCTATACTCTACTGTGAGAGTACTTTGTAGATAATCAAAAGTTGATATAATCATTATATATGTTTTCAAGAGACAAGTATTTAATAATAAGAGTCCTTAACAACAATAACAAAAACCCAATTTACCAGAAAAAAAAAGAGTCCTTAACAAAAGGATACTTAAAATGGATACAAACAAATCTATTCTAAATTAGAGGGCTGGTAAGATGGGTAATGGCAAAGGTGCCGTCCACCAAGCCGGACAACCTAAGTTGATCTTAGGAATCCACACAGTGGAAAGAGAGAACTCCTGCAAACTGTCCTGATTTCCATATGCACACTGTGGCAGATCACTCCTTCCCCAAATAAATAAATGTAAGTTTAAAAAATTTAAATAAGTAGAGATTCTGTTCCCCATTGTTTAAAAGTATTAAGGATAGGCTACCAAACAGCAAGAGAGCCTGTTTCAAAAGGTAGGATGGAAAGTGACAGAGGAAGACACTTACCCAAGTGCATGCACGGGTGTGTATATGGCATGCACACAAACACTATGTACATAGGTCGCATAGAACATACATTTCATTGTATACACACATAACAGTAAAATGTGTAACAGTACATGGGAATACTATAGGACCACTCTAGGAGGAATACAGCCACTGTAAAACTGTAGTTGAGACAAAGAGCACTGAAAATAACAGGCACATCCTATGAATCATCGCAGATTCTGTAGAAGATAACAGTGTGACAATCTTAGGGTATAAAAAAAAGTTTAACTTGTATTTCTCAATATGTACCTTTAGGACCTTTAATGAGTTTTATTTCCATGATTTTTTCTGATGCTGGCTTTCGCCTTTTCACATATAATCGCACAATAGACCCAGCTTCTTTTAATGCCTCAACTGCTTTGCTGTGGGTTACATCACGGACATCTGCTTCATTTACTCTCAGTATACAGTCATTTACCCTGATAAAAATGTAAAACATTAAGACATTAAGTACCAATTTTTAATTCTTCTTTTTGATAAAATATTTATTCTAGAAAGCATAAATGAATAAGATACGCATTAAATTCCAATGTATAAATTTACTCAAGCCATCAAAAGAGAAAAATAAAAAGATTGACTTAAAAATATTAGAATATTTCTTATGTACAGATAAAGATATGTGATAAAATTAGCAAACATTTTACACTAACCACATGCTAGGTACTTCCTTAGTATTTTAATCTTTAAAACAACTTGTACCAAGTATTTTTTTTAACCTATTTTAGACATGGAGAAAATGAGACATAATGAATTTTAATATAGTACTCTCAAGGCTATAAATAAGTGACAGAGCTACGTTTAAGAATAAGAAAAATGAAGCTCAAGAACACTTAAGGTCAGTTAAGCTAGTCAGGTCAGAACATAGTATCAAAACTGAAAGTAATGGACTTGGCCAAGATAAAAATTTTATTTTTTCAAACTTGAAGTGTAGAACTAATAACTTACTTCTTGAAACTTATGTGTAAAGATCAGAAAGTTTAATTCAAAGTTCTTTTATATAAATAACATAATTTGGCATGGAAAGTTAAAAAACTTTTTTTGTTCCTATTCTGAACATTTTCAGCTTAGCTCTGGTTCTGGCTCTGACTGCATGGTACTCCATTAGAATAAAATGGTGGTCATTTCAAATGAGCAGAAAGGAGAACAAAACACATTTAAGATTTAAAACTCATCCTGACAAGTGTCTATATCTAATTAAACTTTATAAAGATATCTCATACACAACTCAATGATGAGTACTTGGAGTGCGCTCTTCAGTTAAACAAGAATCATATTAAATTCACATAGGTCGCACAAACAAAATGGCAATAACGTAAGACTAGGAAGTAAACGCACAGATGGTCAAAGTCCTAATTTTTATGGCAAATGTTACTAATATACTATCTGCAATACCAGTGAGAAGTTCAGTTTAAAATCTAAAGAGCCACATCAAGTACTAAGAACCATCAAATAAGATGTTGATTTAATGCCTCATAGATTATAAAATCCTTAGTTCCAACATGTCATTCTATAATTACATATAAATACAAACCCGGACCAACCAAAGAAATTGGAAAAAATGCCAGATTTTTGGTCCAAGAAAATAACATCTTTGTAAAAGACAGTTTCTAAGATAAAATACTATATAAATCCTATGTAAGTTTATGTTTCCCAAAACAGAAAATAAGGTAGTTTTGTGACTTTGTTTGTAAACACCAAAGACATGACATCTATAAAATTGGTTACAGACATTTAAGCTATCAAAATGCATTATTCAGAGTATTATTCTGCCTAAGACAAAACTGACTTCCTTACAGACAGAAACAATACAAAGAGCAAAATTATCTTTGAGTTGGTCATTTACATCTGGCCTGAGCATCTACCTCCATTTAGTTGTTATTCTGTTCCTTCTTTGTGTTAGTCCTTGTCTTTTTTCAACATCACAACATTAAGTTTAAGACATACCGCAGTCTTCCATCCTGGGCAGCTGCTCCTCCTGTGATAATTTTGGTGATGAAAATACTTGAGTCATCTCCAATGTGTGGGTTGTCTGTACCTCCTGCAATGCTGAAACCAAGACCCGAATTTCCCTAAGGATAGAGGGGAAAATTCCAGAAAGTAAGATCTAAGCATTTAGGCTCTAGAAACTATACTGAGATAGGAACTATACTAGAAAAAAGGAAATGCACAGGTAAGAGAAAGGTTCTGTATCAAACATACATGCTTTTCATAAGGAAAGATGTCTTCAGAGGTAATTACTGCTTAGTAGATGAGGCTGAAGAAAATGAACTGAGTTCTTCAGAAGCCTAATTTGAAGTTCTTTTATTACAAGTATGTGTAATTTGTTAATTACTCTACCTGAAGAGGTGACACTACAAATTTCTTTTAAAATGCATCTCATTCATGTTTGATAGGGCAAACTTCTCCCAAGAGACAGCATATGATCTTTTGCTAACTAATTAATTAGTATGTTAGAGAAACTGTAGCCCAGAGCACCTCAACCCTGATGTAATCCTGGCCTTGGCCCTCCTGAGCCTGGGAAACAGATGCCATTATGCCATATACTGGATTATCAAATGGCATTTTGTAGTCCTAAAGCCCCATCTGACAATTTATGTCAGTGAGCTTTTCTGATGGCAAGCAAACTTTGACAACTGCCACTTTACTTTTATGCTTATTTTACAAACAGGAAAACTGAGCTTCTAATATCTGCACACAAAAAGAGGTTTTACTGCTATTGTAAGTCTATAAAGAGAAATATTACTTTGACCTAAGAAAAGATACTTAGAAATGTTTACTTTCTGCATGTAGCTTCCCAACAATTCAAATAAGTGGGTATATCTGATCTCTTACTAACTATTCATATTTAGTAACTTAAAAACCCAATTTCGCACTATTTGTCCCAAAATCCCAATATAATTAGTTTTTTCATATTAAATTCTTTAAAGAATTAGTAGGATTTCAACACAAAGATTGTAGAAAGCTGCCAAGAAATTTATGTATTCAAGTTTTCCAAACAGCGAAAAAATAAAGTCTATAAACTAAATATAAGAAACTTAAAGCACTGGGAGAGCATTAAAAGGGGTAAGTCAAAAAGTAGAGAAGTCATAAAATGCTCATGAAAACATATGCTAGGTTGGCACTGAGCCTGCTTGAGTGTCACTGAGGAACCTGCCCAAGCAAGCAGTGGCCTCAAGTTAAGTCCACGATGAGGGTGACTGTATGTGGGAAAGACCCTTGTAGTCCTACTTAACTTTCCTGGGCATCCATTCTGGCTTCAAACTCAACAAAATACAATTATCTAAGATTTTAGTTTTTAAAATGTAGATATTCTGCTACTCAGGGAAAGTTGCTTTTGTAGAACATTTAATTCCCTGGAGGTGCTTGCCAGACAAGGGCATTGTTTCTAAAATAAGACACACACACACACGCACACACACACACACTTTCACCTATGTATGTATGTGTATGTATGTGTATGTATGTGTGTATATATGTGAATCTGAGACAGTCTTAGGGAGCTCAAGCTGCCTTGAATTTCCCACTGAACTCCTGATCCTCCGGGGCACTACCTCCTAAGTGCTGAGAATACAAGTCTGCCACCACCCAGATAGCATGCTACTTTCTCAGAAAAATTCAAAAGAGAAAATTTAACAAACTATACTAGTTTAGAGCACCCTAAAGAAATAACTATATGGAGTGTAGTTTTGGTACCCTGGAGGGAAAACCAAAAACAACAACAACAAAAATAAAACGCCTTAAAAACTAAGGAATAAGAAATACAGACTTCAGCTATATAGTGGCCCATTAGTTTAAACAAATACACTGTAACAAAGGTAGATTTTAACAATGGAAAAGGCTGAGTGCAAATTAACTGGAATTCTCTGTTTTACCCTTATGCTTTTTCTATAAAGCTACAAAAATTTAAAAGATATTGAAGAAAAAAACATTCTAAAAATACCATGGCTAATTTCTGGTTTTGAAAGGCATTTCGTCCTTGGATTCTATGATTGAACAAATATTTAAAAGCTCAAATAACAGATTAAGATAATAGCTTTTACCCTTTCAAGTGTGATTTCCTCATATTCATAATCTGCATCAGTGCCATTAACCTACAGAGGAAAAAGAAAAGTAGCTTAGATATTCAGAATGACAATTCTGAAATGTCATGATAATTCTACATGATTTATTAATGAAAACCTGTTAACCATGATGGTGATTAAAAAGTACATCTCTATTTCAGTGACTTTAGACAAGACTTATAAAGAATGAAAGAGGGCAAATGTGATGATTACAGTATTACTATCATGACTTTCAAATATAGGAGGGGTGCATTTAGCTTTTACTATTTTTGAATGTTGATTTTTCAAGTCTACACAGCACATGCATTCAACTGTTCAAGGAGGCCAGAAGAGAGCACATTGGATCTCAGTGATTATAAGCTGCCAGGTGGGTACTAGGAGTTGAACCTAGAGCTTATGTAAGAGCAGACAGCTCTTGATTGCTAACCAATGCCTTACAGCCCCATCTTTCTTGTCTTGATCCACATAGCCAATCAGCTGTCAGCTCTTCCTAATTTAAATATTTTAACTTTTGGAAAACTATCACTTCTCCATTTTCATTGTTACTACTTTGATTCAGACCTTGTCTAAACATCTTCTGGAACACTGCAAATGAATGCCAATTAACCAGTCAAACCTAGATTAGTGTTATCCATTGCCTCAAATGTTTTATATTTTAATCAGACTAACCTTTTAAAAGTCCAGGCTGTGACTGCATAGGAGTTGATGTCAAAAGTATCCCCTCTCCAGGAAAAAGACATCGGGATGGGTATGGCCCTCATACCTCACTGGACAACAACAGGGGGACCGGAGCCATTACAAGGTCCCTTTCAATTACTGGAGGTCAGGCCTCTATCCCCACCTTCGCAAGATTAGAATCGCCACAGCCCTTCTATACTTAGAGAAGGGAGGAGATGTCAGGGGCAGCCCTGTCTACACACTGAAGGCCTAAAATCAGACATAGGCCTAAAATCAGCAATAGGCCTGTCATACATGTATACTAACACCAAGTCTTGGGTCTCTGTAAAAAAAAAAAACATTGAAATAGATGGCTATAAGCTATTGTAAACAGGCTGCTTTTGTGGAAATTTACCAGCCCGAATAGTCATAGACCTTGTAAATAGGTAGCCTTGGCAGACAATACAAACTTAGAAGATAAGGACAAGTGAGTCATAGGCAGAGTCATAGTGACCTGTCCCCTGAACCTTCACCTAGTCGATACTCGGTTCTGAAAGATATCTGCATTCCCCCTGAACACCCACACTCCAGTGTCATCCCCTTCCTCACATCCTGCCTTTCTGTGTTTATAACCCCTGTGTGAATGAACTATGATTTGAGAAAAAATAAATAAATTATTAAAAAATAAAAAATTAAATTAAAAAAAGGTGAGAGAAGAAAAAAAATAAAAAAAAAATTTATGGGAAAGTAAAGATCAATAACTGGTATTTATATTCCCCCCCCCAAAAAAAAGTCCAGGCTGTTAACACACTTGTTTCAAAACTTTTAGAAATTCTCCGTTCCTAAAAACTAAAATCTGTGGCTTTACAACCTTGGCTCTGTGTGAATTAACCCCCATCTACCACTTGCTCCCATCTGAGACACATCAAACATGTTCAGTTTATTCTCTATTCTCTTTAGAGGCACTCCCAAACTGAGTGTCCTTCAAATCAGATTAACCTAGGTTTAAACCCTGGCATCACAACTTCTAGTAATAGTGGGCTAGGCAATATTCTCAACGTAGGTTAAAAGAGATCGTGAGAGTTTTATTTCTGAAGATGACTCTATCTACTTACTCTTGTAGCATCACTAAATCTAACACCAAGGAATGATGAGTCGATTTCCCTTCCTCTAGGATTCAGGTTAGACCTGTGACTACCTTTAGCAAAGCAATGATGCTGGGTGGTTCTGAGTCTTGTGTACCTGTTTGTAGCTCTTGGCTTTGCCTTACAACTTAGCATTCCTTACAGCTTAGCACGATTTGAGGAATCTCAAAATGCTTATGACCAGACCCAAATGAAGGAAAACCAAGGTACTTAGTCCTTAGTCTCAGTCTCATTCTTAACCAAGTAGTCAGCACCACCTGCCATTCAAGCTTATGAGGGAAATTTAAGACTTTCTGGTTTTTACCAGTAACCCACCCAAAATTCTTGTCATCTAGTATTAACTTGTTATTAACCTTTGAGATTTATGACAAATAATGAATTACTGTTTTAAGAAATGATACCAGTGGAGTGGGAAAGATGGCTCAGAGGTTAAGAGGACTGACTGCTCTTACAGAGGTCTTGAAATCAATTCCCAGCAACCACAGGATAGCTCACAACCATCTGTAATGGGATCTGATGCCCTTTTCTGGTGTGTCTGAAGAGAGCAACAGTGTACTTGTGTACACAAAATAAATAAGTCTTAAAAATGATACCAGCTTTTACTGTGGTTAGTATACAACGACAGATAACAAAAAAATAAAAACAACAACAAAGACCCCACAACCTCCTCCTAACCAAAACATATGCTCCTTTGTTCTCTTCACTATGTGTAAGTTTAGTCCTGGTCTGTCCAGAAAGGAGCTTGTGTTTTTTTTTGAGGGCATTTGAAATCCATATCTACTTAAGAGACATGAGGAGGAAAAGGAGGAGGAGAAAGAAGAAAATAGAAAGCCTACAATTCCTCTCCCGCAATCATATGTAGAATTTTCATGGACCTATTCATATTCTCCAGATTCATCTATATATTTGACTTAGTATCACTCACAGATCAAAGGGAAGAGAAGGAAAAAGAGGGAGAGCAGAGAGAAAAAAATGGAGAAAACTGCACACGTTGTGGAATTTAGAAATAAAAGATTAGAAATAGAAGATTGATCTACAGTTATAATGTTCAACGGCTACTGATCACATGTTTATACTCAAATTCATATTGATTAAAACTCAGTGTTATTATGTTAGGTATATTTGTTGATATGACTTTGCTGTATTTTATCCTAAAGATAAATTCCACTAATCACAGTGAATGGTGTATTTTAGGTGGCTCAAACTTAGATATAGTGTTCTGTAAACTCTGTATATTTTCTTTTTAGATGATTGATTGCTAGGCATTTTATACTTTTGTCATAATTTATAGATTCATACTTTCAAGTAGTTACTGTTTATATCCTGGAATAATATTTATTATTGATAAATTAAAAATTATGTTTTTTGATACTGGTACATATAGGCCATAATAAAGAAACACAAAAAACTTAGTACGTATACTCATTCCTTCACTGACACAGACTTAAATTTTCTAATTATAAAAGCACTAATACAATCAAACAAGACAAATCCTATTATGTTAAAAGTTTATGACTTGGCCAAAGGAAGAGAACAAAAATGCTTAATTTATTAATATGCTTTAGTAATCTTTCCCATAGAGTAATATATTGACATTCAAGATTTTATGTATCAATATTCATGATTCATATTACATAATCTGAGTAACTAAACCTCAAAGCTTATATTACAAGCCAAAAATCTAAAATTAAAATGTAAAGAAAAGCAAAAGTTCTTCCGAATGAAAAATTAATATAACTAAATAAAAATTAACACTAAAGACTTTGCTTAAAATTTTCCCTGAATAATGACTCTAAGTTTGTAGCTGGTCTTTGCTACTTTGTGGGTTCTTCTCTTTCCCATCCTTTACCCCTAGTTTTACTCCCTATCACTCGATGGGAGGGAGAGAGAGAGGGAGGGAGGGAGGGAGGGAGGGAGGGAGGGAGTTGCTGGAATTTTCCTTTTGTTTCTTCCTTGAGTATGATGACTAACAAAACTCAATCCAACCCTGTCTCTCAGGGCCCTCGCATTTATATACCCTCTGAAAAGTTCCCAGAATTCCAAACGTAACACAGTCACAGAAACTTTGTACAGCTAGCAAATCACCTCTCTGGCTAGAGCATGAGGCAAATCATAGCTACTGCAAAGCAGCCCCAGAGCCCCATACCAGGAATTTAAATGAAAGCATTAAACTATTTTTGTTTTTTTAAAAGTTAATTTTAAATACTTATAACTATTAACTATACTACATATGGAAAAACTGAGGACTATCATGTAAGAAATTTATTAAATCTCAACTGAATAAATTTTTTCTAACATTTAGCCTTTAGGATTTGTCTTGAGAGAAAATTACAATAGAAAAGATGAGAGTGATTTCAACAAATTTACCTTTTTACTTCTTTAATGGAACTTGTAGAAATCTACATTTTTTTTTGGTCCTTACTTTTGCTTTACATTAATATTTTTATTATTTTATTTTAAAGTTTAACATTTATTGTTTTATGTGTGTATATCATGGAGGTCAGAGGATAACTTGTGGGGAGCTGGTTCTCTCCTTTTACCACGAAGTACTGGGGAGGAAATCAAAACCAGGTCTTTATGCTTGGAGACACAGACCTTTACCCACAAGTCATTTTTCCAGAGTAATTTTTCCTTTTTAAGGACAGAAAATGGATGGAGAGATAACAAATTTCAGTGCCAGTGAGGTTGTATGAATCTATACTTAAAACCTGACACTATTACTTAGCCATGGTGTGCTCACAAAAAGGGGCCTATCATGACTGCCCTATGAAAGACCCAACAAGCAGCTAAAAGAGTCAGATGCAGACATTTGCACCCAACCAATGGACAGAGGCTGCTGAACCCTGTGTTGAATTAGAGAAAAGCTGAAAGAAGGTGAGGAGGGTAACTCTGTAGGAGGACCAGCAGTCTCAACTAATCTGGACCCCCGAGATCTCTCAGACACTGGACCACCAACCAGGCAGCATACACCAGCTGATATGAGGACCCCAACACATATTCAGCGGAGGACTGTTGAGTCTGGGTTCAGTCAGAGAAGATACACATAACCCTCAAGAGACAAGGAGTTTAGCGGTCTGGTGGGGTGGGGACATCCTCGTGGAGACAGGGACAGGGAGGAGGTTTGGGATGTGGAACAGTCAGAGGGTGGACCAGGAGGAGAATAAAATCTGGAGTGTAAAAAAAAAAAGAATACACCATATTGAAAAACTAAAAGTTTACCTCCAAAAA